TCATAGCTTTATTTTTACATTAAATACAAGCTTTTTTATTAGATGTGATTCCAATTAAATTTGTACAATCATCATAGAAAGCACTTTAACATTAATTTTATGCATATTTACAAGGAACTGATGATATTTAACCACATGCATATTATTTATGTTAAGTAATTAAATAATTTACTTCATTGCAAACATAATAATAATTAGATTTATCACTATTTAATGTAGGTATTGTAAGATTAGTACATTTACCTGATGAAAAATCACATTTCTAATCTATTGTCAAACATAAACTTCTACTAACACCAGGAGTTGTACATGTAATTACATCTGTACTAGATGGTACAACACAAGAACTATCTTTATAATAACATTTATCAGTTGCAAAAATACAATCATCTGCTTTTATAGGTGTAATTGATGAACAAATAGATGATGGAAAAATATCATCATCACATAAATCAGTAACTGATGGATCAATTGAACATGCTGGAGTAAAATCATAACCATCTAAAGCTATTTTCTTACAATAAGCATTTTCAGTTTTACTACTTACACAAGAATTTCCATTTAATTAATTACAAGATTAAACTTTATATGAATTAGCAATATAATCATTACAACCACCTTATTAAATATCAAAATAACAATTATCAGCTAATTAAAGACAAACAGCTTTAGAATATATATTACTACATTAAAATGTAATTGGTGCTAATGAACAATATGCACCATTTTAATTACTACTATATTGAGCATTAACTATTTTGGCTAATTTACATCCATAATTAGTAGTGTCCCATTAACAATATGATTCAAAATAACATTATTATGCATTATCAGCAACAGGATCATTTGTACATATTCTAGTTGAATCATCAGAAGAAGCATCAGTGAGTGTTTCACTTACTGAAGAACATGCTAATTTATTAAAAATTTAATTGTTTTAAATTAGATTAGAACATTTAGTAGATTCTGTAATATCAATTGATCTACATGTTAAAGTATCTAAATCAAAATAACAAGTAGATGGTAAATTCATACATACATCAATACTAATAAGTTTATCTGTAGAACATGTTAATTATTCTTCTTTAAATTCTTAACATTTCAATTCAGGAGGTTAACTTGGATCAAAAAAACATCTATGATTTTTAGTCATAGTTAAACAAGCAAATTTATTCATTATTTTAGAAGTACAATCATTATTTGAAGTTAATACTTCAAGACATTTATAATTACTAAAATAATAACCACCCCCAACTAAATTTGTACAAGTTTAAGCATTATATAAATTAGTTAAACTTACTTTGTTTAAAGCTTCTTTTTAAGTACATATCAAATCAGTAGTAGACCATTCACAATTATCATTCAATAAATTCTTACATAAGTATAAATTAATGTTATCATTACATTTTAATGTACTTAAAGCATTTTCATCACTTTCTTCATAACATTCTAATAATGTTGAATCCCATCTACAATTACCTTCTGTTTTAGCATAACAACCAATACTATTAACTCCTGGAAGATCACAATTTGTTGATGAATCATTAGAATAGATACAATAATTTAAAGGTTCATAGAATTTACAAATTTGACCAGGCATTGTAATATTTTTACAAGCTTATTCATTAACTTTAGCATAATAAGGAGAAGATGCTAAAGAAAAGTCATTACATTTAACATTCTAAGGACTGGATACACATTTGTCTGATCCATCCAAAAAGGCACATGGAACATAAGGATTAGAAATACAAGCTAATTCATTTTAATTTTCATCACAAGTCAAAAGTGTTAGATAATCTTCTATTCTTTCACAACTCAAAGTTAATTTATTCCATTTACAATAAAGGTTTTTAGAGTATCCTAAACAATAATTAACATTGACTCCTGGAGTCTCACAATCAGTTAACATGTAGGGTACTACATATAAAGCACAATAATTTGTATCCAGATATCTAAAGTACTTTGCATAATTAGATTTGATTGCTTCTACTCCTTGACATCCATATCTACTTAATGATGTTGGTGGAAATAATGTTGCAGTGAATGTAGTATAATCACTGTAATTGATTTATGTACATACAAATCCATCCCAATAACATTTTTAAGTAGTAGACCATTCAATCATCCAACAAGATTTAGAATTCATTGATGAACATTTATATTTCATAAAGTTATAATAATCCTTAACTGCTTATATTGATGTTAGATCTGTCTATTCATTAGTCAATTGAACACATTTATTGAATTCATTAAAATAACAATATACTGATTAATCTGTATATCTACTACACACATGTGCATTGATACCTGAAACACTAGTACAACATTTTTCTGTACAAGGTTTATCTTAATATAAGATACAATTTCCCTTTCCATTATATTCACAATAACCTCTAAGTATATCTACTTTCTTACCTTTTGCTGGATCATGATTAGGCTATAAATATAAATAAATTATATATTACAAAGTTCATTACAATACTGGCACATACATTTTCATTTACATAAACTTCTGCTCCTGCTAAAGTCTTCTATTTTTCTTAAGTATTATAATCTAAACATTTTTCATTCATTTAAACTGAGTTGTAACTACATTTAGATTATCTAGTATTCCAAATACAAGATTCACCCAATGTTTTTATGGCCATACAAATATTTAATGTAGGAGAACTAGCAACACATTTAGCTGTTGTTAATAATTCATTTGAAGCAATTATATCAATTTCTTAAACTGATTTACTATCTGGTGCAGTTACACAAATATTATTAATCTTATCAAAGTAGCATCCTGTTTTACTTCTTGTAATTTAAGAACATGCAAAAGCATTTAATCCAGGAGTTATACAATAATCACCTGTGTCACTATAATTAACACTATTTACACATCCAAAAGCATCAGAGTTATATTTACAAGGTTCAGAATTGGCTGTTACTAATGCACAAATAGCAGGATTAACAAATTATAATTCTATACAATTTACAAGTGCAAGTGATTCTTTACTCTTTATTTTTGTACATTCATTTCTATACCATCTACATCTCTATCCTAATTTGCTTATCATTGTACAACCATGCTTATTTAATCCTTTTTATTCACATTCCATATCAATTAAACTTATTAGATTGATCTCTGTACAAAGTGAAGTATCTTCATTATAATAACAACCAATAAATTTATTATTCTTAAACTCAGTAACTTATGAGCAAGCTTTTGGATTTGAGAATCTTAATTCACTACAATTTGTACTTAATTCTATAACTTCTACATTCTCACATTAACCTACTTATTCATTCCATTTACAAGATATTTACTATTGTATACTAACACAAGCAAATAAATTAATATATGGAGTTGTGCAATTTTCAAATCCAGAACTCTTAACACATAAATGAAGATTTTAATCATATTTACAACCAACACCATTTTTAGATATTGATTAACAAACATTTCCATTTACCTTATAGGCAATATTATCAATCAATGGCAAAGGACAATCTAAGTCTTAATTGATAATAATTCTCTAACATTTTTGACCATTCCATTAACAATTTTAATATGGAGTTGTGATATTAATACATGCATTTTCATTAACATTATCTTCACATAAAGTCATCTTTAATTGATCTTCATTTAATTCATGACATCCCAATTCATCATTGAATATACCTAAATATGATTGAAATTTAATTACATTTTTCATCTAGTATTTATATCCATCCATTTTTGCTTAATCCTTTTGTCTTACAACCAACATTATTTAAAGTTGTAATTGGTTTACATGTCTTTGTTGATTTATCATATTCACATAATTCTTACATTGACATACAAACACTTGGATTAATGTTCGAAACATCTGAACATTTAGTATCATCCTTAACTTCATAAATCTAACAACCTGTCTATTTCCAAGCACATTTGACAGCAGGATTAGAAATACCAAGACAAGCTTCTTCATTTAATAATTATAAACAACTAATTTCATCTTTTTACTCAAATTATCGACATATCCCATGTTAAAAAATGCCTAATCCTTTAATTAATACTTACATTTCTATCCAGGAGTCTTGATGGATGTGCAAGCTACTTAGTTCAACCCAGAAGTATCACAACTTATCACTTGAAGCATACTATCAGTCACATTTTCACAAATATATCCACCTTTAAATCCGTTATTATAACCTAGCAGTATTTTACTAAATATTATACATGGAATCTCCTAAATCTGGGAACATAGTTCAGGGGCAACAGCAGTCTTAAAAATTTAAGAGCAATCATTATCAGAAGGAATGGGACCCGTATATTAAGAACAAGTTGTTCCACTCCAATAGCATTATTTTTGTTAGATATTTACACAACCATAAATAGAAAAGTGATCCTTACATTCTAGATGTCTCAAATGAAATTCATTGGCATCAATACATTTCTTTCCAAAAAAGCCTTACTCATTAAATCTAGATTATTACATTAAACTTCATCTCCACTTAAATTCTGTTTTTACATTATACAAGCCTATAGATTTAATGTGGGCTCACATCCTAATGAATTACTTTTAACTTCTATGCATTGATTTTCGAAAAAACTAAATTGACCTTGAAATATTTATAGCCAAATTTACATGCTATTCCATGAGTCTTTTATACACATGCAACAGGATCTAAAGGGTAGTAGCTACAGAACATTGCTATTGTTCCTGTAAAATAAAGTGATATTATCAAAATGGAATATTTCATATGATATTGAATTATTAAAAAGTTGCTTAAAAATTCAGTATAAATAGTCGGCATTGATTAAAATTAAATAAGTTTCATAATTTCTATATTTATTTACATAGATTACTTTTACATGTTTTTGTCTTTTTGAACATGAGTAAGCCAATTCATTTTGAGTATTTATATTTTTTTGTTAAAATAATTAACTATTTTATTAAAAATAGATTCATTATGATTTTTAATAATTATAATACTTTTTATCTGAAGTAATTATAAAATAAATTAACAAATCATTATATATACATTTGTGAATTAATTGAATCCAAACTAGAAATTGTATTTTATGTTGTTATTTCTTTCGATCTTTTTATTTTAATTGAAGATGATGAACTTTCTAATTGATATAATTTTTGACATTTCTTAATTATATTTGAATCAACTTTATTAATCTTCTTCCTTATTTAATTAACTTAATTTTATTTTTTATTACTCTTTTACTAAATGTTTTTTTCATATTCAATTTTTTGAATATTCATAAATTCTAAAGGTATATCTATTATTTATCTCCTTTTCTCATTGATTAAACTCTCAAAATAAGATGATTTGTAAATATCCTCTAAATCACCGTTAAGTTCTAAGAATTGTCTCTTCATTTTATAAATTATATCATTTCTTTAACATCTTTAACAAGTACACAATCCCTAAATTAATTTAATTAATTTATACTTTGCACAAAGGACAAATCCATAAATAAGAAATTGTCTCATAAGAATCAAAATCAAACTTTAAACAATTTAAACAAAAGTATCTCTAACACATGATTTATTAATCTATAATATTATCTTTATACTTCATACTTTCTATTATGTAATTCTCAGAATATAAATCAAGAAGATATTATTATATTTATTTCCCATTTATTTAATATCTTTAGCATATCAATAAATCCTCATTGTATTCATGTAAACCCATAGAATAATGATTATATTGGCATTACTTTAGACTTTTTATTTCAACCATCTGTTTACAATGATGGCACATCTACATGTCAAACACATCCTACAATCATACCTATAGAATTACATCAGACCTTAAATTGCTTTGTTAATTTGTTAAATCATATGGTTCTTCTCGTAATCTCTAAAGATTATCAAATTCCTCTAAACTCAAAGTAACTGGAGTTTGACTCAAATACTTATCAAATATAACAGTAATGGTATTATCTTAAGAGTAGTATTATTATAATTACTATAATTATTGAAGGTTGCTTTTCCAATACTATCAGCTACTTAATAATCCTATTATGATATGATTAGTTATTTTAGCATATTCAATTCATTTTCATGATTTGTAATTCTCTATCTAATCAATTTTAATTTATGTTCCCCAATTTAATAGCTATTGTATGTATATTATACGGTTAAGTTTATCTAATGAATGTGTTATTCCAAACTAATTATTAAATGAATAATGAATACATTTATAATGCATTCTTGTTGTAATTACTTATTTCATTAAGTTATTATTGATGTTCTTCTATTGAAATACTTAATTCATCTGACCAATCAATTTGATGCATTAAATTAGATAATAAATCTGCTTCTTTATTATAAATCTACAATTATTATGCATCTGAACAAAGAGATATATTCTTTATTAATTCTTAAGCATTCTATAATCCAGTTGAAAGATAATTAAAACAAACTTAATCTATCATTTCATCCATTAAATTTTAAATAGGTTCCTATTTTTATTGTCTTTTCAGAAAGATCAACTAAATTCTTGTTTTTAAATTATTTAAGTTTGTTTAGAATAGCTTTGTTCGATTGTTCTATCTAATTAACTTATTTAAAGGATTTAGACATTTTTATGATCTTCTATTTCCAGCTACTCATATAGATAACAAGAATACCTTTACTTTTAAGAATATCGATATCTCTTATTTAAACTGGAGATTAGACAATGAAATATTATTCATTTATCTCTCTCCAAAACTCTGAAGTGAAGATTGATTCTCCATTTTTATCCATTTTCAATATTAAATAATGGATAGAAAATAATTAATGAATGCATATATTAGATTAAAACTATAGACATGAGTAGTCTTAAAAAAAAAAGAAACCAAAAATAATACTAATTCAATTTTAAAATGCAGCCAATTATCCTTTGTTTTGTAACTCCCTCTCTTTTTCTTTCTCTGCATCAATGACTGCCTAATCTCTCCAATCATATCCAACTTCCTTAAGTATCAAACCCAAAACAATTCCAATAACATTCAATGCAAAACAAATCCAAAATACTCCTTCCCATTTAATCTTCTTTCTTGCAAAAGCATATAATATATATCCAATCATATTTGATACTCCAACAAAAAAGAACATGAAACCATACATCAAACCTCCAATTTTCTTTCCATAAATTTTTGCACAAATAACTGGATATGTTGCCAATAATCCACCTTCTGCAAGATAGACTACAGCAATCAATAAGAGATATCCAATTCCATCTTTATTATATGGTAAAATGGCAGTAGTTATTAGATTGAGAATTGATATGAGAGTAAAAGTGAATTTGTATGATGTCTTATCTGTTAAAGTGGCCCAGAAGAATCTTGATGATCCATTCATTACTCCTGCAACTGAACCAGTAGCTGTTAATGTAGCATCATCAATTCCCAATTCTAATCCATAATATTTATAACAATTAGATATCAACATACCAAAAGTACAAGACATCAAAACAATCAATTGGAGAATTATAAAAGATGGATGTTTCATACCTCTAGAACTAAAAAATATAAATATTATATATTACACTTCGACACATTCTTTATGAGCAGGTAAAACTGGAGGAGCAGGAGCAGGAGCACCCTCTTTTCTTTTCTTTTTTTCTTCTGCTTCTAAAGTAGCTAACATTTTATCAGGATCAATTTCAGATGGATATCTAACCATTATTGTTGCTATAATTCCCAATCCAAAATAGCTTGCAGCAAGTACTTGTAACATCAATGGTACATTATCTCCTACTTGACTATCAAAGTATTTCACATCTTTTCCATCTTCAACTTCTATTACTGATGGCTTTATATTGTTAGGATTTGCTATTGCTTTGCATACAAAATTGAATATAAATGATCCAAATCCATATCCACCAATTGTTAATCCTGATACTAAACCTCTTCTATTAGGGAAGTATCTCCATCCACAAATAATTGGTAACATATACAATAACCCTCCAGAAATACCAACCATTATACAATACACTGCTATGAATCCTCCTATTTCTTAGATAAATGATATTATCAAGAAAGCTAATGCAATAGTAAATGATCCTATCCCTATTGTCACTTTAAATCCAATTTTCTCAGCAATCTTTATACCAAATGAAAGGACTGACATTGTTATTACTCCTAGGATTGGAAAGATGATAGCCATAAAATTTAGTGTTACTCCAGTATCTTTTTCTCTCATCCAAGCACAAACATATGGACCTAAAAAAAAATTATTTTTAATTTATTACTAATTGAACCCCAAACATAAAAAGTTCCCAATTCTATATGTAAAATTACACCTCCTATCAATGAAATTATTCCTCTTTTTGTAAAGTTCTTCATTTCTTCCTCTGTATATATTTCTTTATTTGGATTTATCTAAATGTCTGTTTTCATAGGACTACTTTAATCACTTAATTTATGAAGTAATTTGTTTTATTCATTTCCTCCATGCACTGTTGCTAGTCCAGTCAAGTTATTTTATGCAATAGATGAAGCATCTGGTTACTCCATTTTTTTTTATAATGTTTTATTTGAAAAAAATATATCTTATTGCTAATTATTATAAATCCTTAAAAACTCAAACACCATAGTACAAACCAATAGTGTGTCATTAAAATGATGCACTTTTTACCATAATTTATTATAAAATTTAAATATTTTTTATAAAAATTTTATAATATTTAAATTTGTTTCTCCTTTTTTAAATACTCCTTTCATCAATTCAAAAAAGTTCAAAATCAAACATTTGCAATCCAAATTACATAATAAAATCATTATCAATATTTAAATGACCTTCCTCTACCTCCATCATGTCAAAAAAAATCATTTTTAATAAAATTACCTAATTTCAACTCTATTAGAAACAACTGTATTTAATCATTAAGTTTTATTTCATAAATATTCAATATATAGCAATAAATAAACAAAATATTTATAATAAATTTTATAAGTTCCTTTAATATTTTAATTTAGACTATGGTATTTTGCATGAACAAAAATGATATATATTTTTATATAAGATTTATCCATGATCTCTTATTACTATTAATTCTTTTTAATTGCCACTTTAAATGAAAATTATATTGTTAACGGGTTTCATAAATAAATTGATAAGTATTTATTAAAAGATTAAAAATATTTAAAAAGTTTAATATTTGAAGACTTTACAGTAGTAGCTCTAATAAATTAGATAAAAAGAGAAGGAAATAAATAAAATTTTGTTCATGAATAATGTTATAATGATTTCTTATTACAGATTATTAATAAATTTTTAAAATTTAATTTGATTTTATTTAATTATAGTGAATTGTGATTATAGAGGAAGATAGTAATAAAGATTCTAAAAAAGTTCATAAACAAAAAGATTCCTTAATTATTTTCTTAATATGTAAATATTTTATAAAACTTTCCTAAGAACTCCATCAAAATGTCTGTTAAATGAAATATTTCGAAATTCCATTGATGTTAACTATTATAGAGATTTTCTAATAAATTCTAAATATATCTAGACTAATACAACATAGAAAATTAGAACTGATATAAAAATGTAAAATAATATTTTGATAATTTGAAATATATTTCTAATTGTTCATCTTCTTCTCCTTCTGTGACTCTAACTTGGACTTCTTGAAGGGGACTTTGAATGTGATCTCCTTTTGTAGTTACGTCGACGACTAAAAATATTTATAAATTTAATACCTATGATGTCTTCTACGACTACTTGAATAAGAGTCAGATGATATAGATCTTCTTCTTCTATGTGATCTAGATCGAGATCGACGGTAGGCATAACCAGCATATCGACCTGGGGTCTTTCTTCTTGGCTCAGCTCTTTTCGAAACTTCCACTTTCATTTTTGATCCATGTAATTCTTTGTCTTGCATTGCTTCTAGTGCTATTTGGACGCTTTCCTTTTTGACAAATTTAATGAATCCGAAACCTCTAGATACTTTGCCAGGGCTAGGTTAAATTAGAGATAAGGAAATTACTACCCCTTGCTTCGGGGCTCCATACAGACAGTGGCATATTCAATTTGGCCAAACTTCTCGAAGCTTTCTTTCAACTCGGCATCGGTAACTCTCTTGGACAAATTGGAGACATGGAGGCATAATTTTTCTAGATGTTGATAATGTTGAAGTAGTTGATAGTGAGGTATTTTGAATGTTGATATATGATGTGTGATTAACCTTGATTTGGATGTGAATTTGATTTCGATTTTGGACTTGGACTCTAATGTTAACTCTTGGATGGACTACTTCCTAAGAAATAGAAAATATAAAATTACGACTGGACTTAGATGATTTGGACATCACTCAATAATAATAATTATTAATAAATATAAATAGTCATTTCAAATTTCAATTACATCTCAATGAACTCTATTCATATATTAAGCAAACAATAAATACCATACACTACTAATTTTAATTAGTTTTCTATATGATATTATTAATAATATAATTAATGAAGAAGAATGAATATATGGTTTCTGAATTGATAGATGTAACAAATCTGTAGGAGTTTCTCTTACTTTCATTTTTTACTATAATAGGATTAATTTTGTTTTGGTAAGTTTGGAAGGATTATCAATCCACTAAAAGAATTTATATTAAGAGGGAATAAGAAAAAATAGATATGTTGGTAATTAAGAGACTTTTGTTAGTAAATATATGTGCTCAAACATTTTCATATTTTATTGAATGTGTAGGTTATGCTTTTCTTAAAAATTGCCAAACTAACAATTACTATATTATATCTATAATTTATTTAATCTGCAATGTGACATATATGACATCATTATATATGTGTTGTTGGAAATCAACATTAATATGGTAACAATATTACTAAATCCTAGGGGTTAATTAATATTACTAAAATTAAGTATTTCAAGTTCCATCATTGATTTTTTAAAGAAATATTCCATTATTGAAGTATTAATTGTTTTTATGAATCTATGCGTATGTCTATTTTATTTCATTTAAGTAAAAAGGTAAGTTTTATTTATATTTTTAGTATTGTAAATCTCATAGTGTCCATTATTTCAACATTAATGCTTATATTATTTTTGATAGTTTCGTTTTTCTTTTAGAAATACATTATTTTAATTCAAAATGAAATTCCAAATTAAACTAAACGTAGAGTAATTAAATATATAAAGTTTAGATATTTATTAGCATAATCTTTTTATCATGTGCGTTAGGTCTGAGAATCTGTTGGAACCTCTTCCTAATGATTCAACAAGACAATTTAATAATAAGGTTGAAATATTAAGAAGTCGAAGTTACATGTAATATGAAAGGCTCAATATATTGGTTTATCTATGAATTACTTTATTTTCCTATAGCAAATCTGATCCCAGTATTTTTATTTAATCGAATTTATTCTCAGCAGAGGATTGTTCCATAAAATCAAATAAATAGATTAATTAATGAAGAATGATTAGATTTTTACTAGAGATTTTAAAATAAATCTGATTGATATATTTATTACAACAGAGATTAAGAGTATTATATTATTATTATCATTTACAATATACTATAATAATTAAATTGAATTAATCTCTTTAATCTATTCTCATATTACTAAACTGTTTATAGCTTAAAGAGAAATAAAGAGAAATAACTAAACAAAAAAAAACAAAAGGGAAGTATTTGTAATGAACTGATATTTATAAATTGAAATTACACAATAAATTAATGAGGATGACATAATATAAATTATCAAATGAATACAGATCCAATACCACCTCCTAGAGAATACGTAATACCTGAGGATTTTCATCAGAATATTAGAACTAGATTCCTAAACTTCTTTCGTTACACTGTAGGGGATAAAGCAAGGAATAGTGTAATAATGTTAAAGGGAGCCTATAAAATCAATAAACATGATGAAGGTAATTAAAATGTGATATTGTAGATTAATAATATAGAGTTGAATAGGAGAGTAATTTCCATTATTTGTTTGGAGTAGATTTTCTTAATTGTTATGCAATAATAGATGTAGACAATGGGAAATCAATTGTATTTGTACCATAATATGATTCGAATTATAAAATGTGGAATGTTGTTTTAAACAATGACGAAATTAAATAAAAATTTAAATTAGATGAAGTGTTATATAATGAAGAAATAGAATCATGGTTGAATAATCGAAAACCATCATTAATTTATTATTTTTATGGAATTGATGATTATTCTCATCATTCATTACCTATACCTGATTAACCATTCTTACAAAATTATAATTCTGATTATGATGAATTATATTATATACTTACAGAATGTAGAGTAAGAAAAACTCCATAAGAATAAGATATTATGAGATATATTTGTAAAATTAGTAGTGAGGCTCATGAATTGGTTATTAAAAACATAAGAAAAGGAAATAAAGAATATTAAATGGAAGCTTTATATTAATATCATACATTTATAAATCATGGTTGTCGATTTACACCTTATGAATGTATCTGTGCATCTGGTACAAATGGTTCTGTTTTACACTATGAAGAAAATTCAAAAACAATTAATGAAAGGGAACTTATATTAAATGATATGGGAGGTAAGTTCTATGGATATTGCAGTGATATTACAGTAACTTTTCCTAGTGATGGAAGATTTACATAAAAATAAGCTATTATTTATAATGCTGTTCTTGATACTCAAAGATAAGTTCATAATTCCTTAAAAGTTGGAGTCAATTGGGGAGATATGTAATTATTGGCTGAAAGAACAATAACTAAACATCTATATAATGCAGGTTTAATTAAGGGATCAATGGAAGATCTTATAAAAAATAGTATTTGTAGATTATTCTTTCCCCATGGATTAGGTCATATGTTAGGTTTAAGAACTCATGATGTTGGAGGATATAATAAAGGTACTCCTCCAAAAATACCAGGTTTTATTATTTATTTAATATAGAATTATCTTAATTATAATTTCGTAGAGATTTGGATGTAGGAATGATATTTACTAATGAACCTGGAATTTATTTCATTGATTTCATATTACAAGAAGCTTATAAAGATCCTAATAAAATGAAATATTTGAATAAAGAAAGAATTTAAGAATTTATGCATGTAGGAGGTGTAAGATTAGAAGATGACATATTATTAACAGCTAATGGTCCAGAAATACTTAATGATGTACCTAGAACTATTAAATAAGTTGAAGCATGTTGGAGAGGTGAAGATTGGAGATAAATAAATGATTGAATTTATATATAATATTAATAGTATTTAAATGTTTGTTTATGATTTATTAATTAATATGCTATTAATATTTGAATCCATAATTGCTTTTTCTTTTATTATNAGAATCATGGTTGAATAATCGAAAACCATCATTAATTTATTATTTTTATGGAATTGATGATTATTCTCATCATTCATTACCTATACCTGATTAACCATTCTTACAAAATTATAATTCTGATTATGATGAATTATATTATATACTTACAGAATGTAGAGTAAGAAAAACTCCATAAGAATAAGATATTATGAGATATATTTGTAAAATTAGTAGTGAGGCTCATGAATTGGTTATTAAAAACATAAGAAAAGGAAATAAAGAATATTAAATGGAAGCTTTATATTAATATCATACATTTATAAATCATGGTTGTCGATTTACACCTTATGAATGTATCTGTGCATCTGGTACAAATGGTTCTGTTTTACACTATGAAGAAAATTCAAAAACAATTAATGAAAGGGAACTTATATTAAATGATATGGGAGGTAAGTTCTATGGATATTGCAGTGATATTACAGTAACTTTTCCTAGTGATGGAAGATTTACATAAAAATAAGCTATTATTTATAATGCTGTTCTTGATACTCAAAGATAAGTTCATAATTCCTTAAAAGTTGGAGTCAATTGGGGAGATATGTAATTATTGGCTGAAAGAACAATAACTAAACATCTATATAATGCAGGTTTAATTAAGGGATCAATGGAAGATCTTATAAAAAATAGTATTTGTAGATTATTCTTTCCCCATGGATTAGGTCATATGTTAGGTTTAAGAACTCATGATGTTGGAGGATATAATAAAGGTACTCCTCCAAAAATACCAGGTTTTATTATTTATTTAATATAGAATTATCTTAATTATAATTTCGTAGAGATTTGGATGTAGGAATGATATTTACTAATGAACCTGGAATTTATTTCATTGATTTCATATTACAAGAAGCTTATAAAGATCCTAATAAAATGAAATATTTGAATAAAGAAAGAATTTAAGAATTTATGCATGTAGGAGGTGTAAGATTAGAAGATGACATATTATTAACAGCTAATGGTCCAGAAATACTTAATGATGTACCTAGAACTATTAAATAAGTTGAAGCATGTTGGAGAGGTGAAGATTGGAGATAAATAAATGATTGAATTTATATATAATATTAATAGTATTTAAATGTTTGTTTATGATTTATTAATTAATATGCTATTAATATTTGAATCCATAATTGCTTTTTCTTTTATTATGTTTAAAATAACTTAATTAATATTATATGATTCTTTTAGGTATATCTTAAAGTGAATTTATAGTCATTCAATATATATACATATATAAATTTCATAATTCGATTTCCATAAATTTAGCGAACTAATGCAATCCAAAATACAAATAAGATATTTTGAACACTACTATTATTATCACAGTACACATAAAATACAATTACCATATAGTTTATGCCATTTAGCCTTCTTCTTATAAGTCTTTTAAAGCATCTTGCTTGTTCTCCTCATTTTAATATGCAGTTAATTTAGTCAATTCTTCTTAAAAATTGTAATAATATATTTATACTAATTAACCCACACTATAAAGGAGTATTAATAAATAAATGTGATAATATATGTATCGATTCAAATTTTTATTACTTCTGAAAAACAATACTATTAATTAGATGACATAAGATGCTGTAAATATCATATAAAATGCTAATGATATTCCAATAGATTAGTAAACCATTTTAATGGATTGAGCAGAAAAATCATTTACTAGTTTGTAAGAGTAGATACTCTAATTTTGCAAGATTTCTTAGATTGAGTATTGCAATCGATTAAAATAAAGTATTATTGTGATGTGATGTAGTGCAATTAAAAGTTATTTTAAGTTAAACATTTTTAATTAAATGAAATAACCATTTATAAATCACAATTATAGGGTTTAATTTAAGCATCCTATCAATATACAATAAGAAGGTCTCATTTCAGAAATAACATCTTGTCGCATTTCACTATTCAAAACAGTAGTATTTGCCTTTCTATCCATAATTACTTGTGGCTTACTCTATTTAGTTACAAGGTGGGACTTAAGAATTTTCCTATTTTTCCGTGCTAAGAAGTGTGTCCCTAAATCTGCAACTCACTTCTTAATTATTGGGCAAGGTAAGTAATTTCGTTAATGTATATTAGACCAGTCTCAAACCTTGGTTAAATCGAATCGTTCCAAAGATGGAATGCTTTTTATTGAATATAGATTATATAGGTACTATTATACAGAATTTGGATTCGATCCCATAGAAACTAAATATCAGACCATGATCTAGTAAGAAATAAGACAGTAATTGATAAATCGAAACGACTAGCTGGACAAATTTGGATTTAATAATACAGAAATACCAGACAAAGGAATTGCTAAAACTTTAATTGATGAAGTCTTGAGTCCATTTTATATATTTTAGGTAAATATTAATAAAATTTTAGTTTTGTTCTGTACTATTGTGGTTTTGGGCATCATATCAGCGATATGCAACAGTAATTTTAATTACATCATTAATTTCAATATTTATAACACTCTATGAATAAAGAAGGAGTTTCTATCGCTTATAGTAATTGTCTAAATTTAACATTCCAGTTCAAATATTAGATGAAGGATAAATGAAGGAAATTTAATCTATAAATTTAGTACCTGGTGATAAATTGATAATAAAGGATGGTATGATTATGCCATGTGATGCGATTTTATTAAATGGTTAGGTCATATTTAATGAAGCTATGTTAACAGGAGAATCTATTCCTGTTTTAAAAACAGAGCTTCCAAATAATAAAGAAATTTATGATCCCTAAGATGCAGGAAAATAATTTACATTGTTTGCAGGAACAACTTGTATGGAGACTAAAGGTTCAGAAGTAATTGCTTTAGTTACTCAAACGGCTTTTAATACTTAGAAAGGATAATTAATAAGATCGATAATGTTTCCAGTTTAGAATTCATTTAAATTTTATGCTGATTCTATGAAATTTGTAGGAATAATGGCTATTTTAGCAGTAATTGGGTTCATTATAACAGTTCCTAATAAAATTGAATATCTCTTAGATGACTCAATATCAACCTGGGAATTTATTAATGAAGGTCTGGATTTAATTACAATCACAGTTCCACCAGCATTACCAACATGTTTACAAATTGGTATAAGTATAGCATTGGCAAGATTAAAGAGTTCTAAAATATTTTGTATATCACCCTAAAAAGTAAATATTAGTGGAAAAGTAACTATAATGTGTTTTGATAAAACAGGAACATTAACAGAAGAAGGATTAGATATGTATGGTATTAGAATGATAGAGAATTAGAGATTTTCAAAGATTGTAACATCAATTGATGCTAATACTGATGTTAATTTTATTAAAGGAATGGCAACTTGTCATGGATTATCATAGGTAAAAGGTAAATTAGTAGGTGATCCTTTGGAATTGAAGATGTTTGAATCTACAAATTGTGAATTAATAGAAGAGAAAGATGGTCGTATAAGGATTAGAAATAATGATAGAATAAATGTGGAAATTATAAAGAGATTTGAATTTTCATCTAAATTATAGAGAATGTCAGTGATAGTTAAAGAGAATGGTTAATATTAGGCATATATGAAAGGATCACCTGAGAAATTAAGATAATTATGTAATAATCAATCAATACCTTTTAATTTTCATTAGATTTTAGATTTCTATGCTTTAAATGGATTTAGAGTATTAGGTATGGCATAGAAATCAGTATAATAAATAGATTTAGATCGTAATGAAGTAGAATCAAATTTAAATTTTATTGGATTCATTATTATGGAAAATAAATTGAAACCTATTACAACTAAGATTATTAAATAATTAAAGGATTCTCATATTAGATCAATAATGGTTACAGGTGATAATGTTTTAACTGCTATTAGTGTAGCTAGATAATGTGGATTAATTGAAAATTAGAGAGTATATTTGGGTGAATTAAGTGAAAAGAAATTGAATGGGAAGTATTTTGTATCATGGAAAGATTTTGAATATAATTAAAATGAATTAAATGAAGATACTTTGGAACCATAATAATAAATAATTAATAATTTGAATGAAATTTAAAAGGATGTAGATGTTCAGTAGGATTTTGAATATTTAAATTAGAGATCATTTTCTAAAAATTCAGTTAAAAATAAATCTTTGCTAGAAGATCCACCTCCTGTTAACATTTAACTTGATAATATTAGTGAAATTTATACTGACGGAGATTTCATGGAAGAATAACCATGGAATGAAAATGAAAATTATGTATTAGCTATTTCTGGTGGTGCATTTATGCATTTAAATAAATATGGATCTTAAGCAACACTTAATAATATACTTGAAAAAACTATTGTCTATGCTAGAATGAGACCAGAAGAAAAAGCTAATTTAATACAATAATTATAGAAACATAAATCATTACCTTTAGTAGGATTCTGTGGAGATGGTGCTAATGATTGCGGAGCCTTAAAAACTGCTGATGCAGGAATTTCTTTATCATAAGCAGAAGCTTCAATTGCTGCACCATTTACTAGTCAAATTTAAGATATATCATGTGTTCCAATTTTATTAGCATAAGGTAGAGCAGCTTTAACTACTTCATTTTGTTGTTTCAAATTTATGGCATTATATTCAATGATCTAATTTATCTAAGTTACTATACTCTATCTAAAATAATCAAATTTAACAGATAATCAATATCTTTACAATGATTTATTTACAATATTCCCATTAAGTATGACTATGGGATTGGTTTAGGCAGCAAAAATAAATAAATTTGTGCCAGGATCATCATTAATAAGTTTCTCTGTATTAGGTTCAGTTATAGGATAAACTATTATTTAATTAGCTTTTTAATTAGGAGTTTATCTATTATTATTGAAATAATCATGGTTTATTCCAAATGAAGAACTAAATTAAGAAGATTTAAATGATGATTCAATGAAGATTTGTTTTGAAAATACAACTTTATTTATTTTTGGCAATTTCTAATATTTGATGATAGCTTTGGCTTATTCAAATGGAAAACCTTTCAGAAAACCATTCTATACCAATTTTTATTTCATAGGAAGTACAATATTTCTATTCATTCTTGCCATTGTGTTTCTTCTGATGAGGATTGATTATATTGACGACATTATGGGGGTATAATATTAAATATTAATATTTTTAGTTTATTTTCTAGAGTTATGATGATCAATACATTATGCCTGAATCATGGACATCTCTATTAGGCATTATTGCTATCATAAATGCTGCAATTACATTTATTTATGAAAAGCTTGTTGTACCAAAATTAATATTCAAAACAAAAGTGCAATCAATACAATTCTGATATATTCATTATATTTATTAATGATTTAATAATCTGGCATCTCATTTTAAAGTCGCCAAACATAATTAAAGGATCAAATTAATATGCTTGAATAGAGAGCATAAGAAATCAATCAAGACATAAAAAAAGTATAATTAAATTCCATAATTAGAAAAGAAAAACTCAAGGAGGCCAAGACAGATAAATCAAATTAAAAACTCTTCAAAATCAAATTGATAAAATGAAATAATTAAATGAAGATTTAATGCATTTAGTAATAGATGTAAAATGCTTCTAATTCTCATTTAGGATAAGAAATGGTAAAAATTGATGATGCTTTTGGATATCATGTATTAAAATTTAGATAATCCAGAGCATGAATAAGATATTAATCAAGTATATTTAATATCAATCATTTAGTTGATAAATCAATTATATTAAACTAAAATGGTACCAACTGTTTGGAATGATAAAATCTTATAACCAAATAGATTAACAATTGAGCCTTTTGATCAAAAAGCTGCAACTTAACAAGCTTAATTAGTAGATTAAAATTCAGCTGCTTATAAAATTAAAATGATGGACTTTAGTTATAATGATAGGCCATAAAAAAATGATTATTATTAGCCTCCTACATTTAAAGAAAAATTGAATCTAAATAGTTTGTTACCTAAATACAAAATGCTACCAAATTCAGTATTCAGTTAATTAAGTAGTGATACATTATTCTATGTATTTTATTATCATAAAGAACCTACTGAATAATTGATGGCAGCAAGAGAATTAATAAAAAATTAATGGTTATACAATACTAAACATGGATTATGGATGAAGAAAGATAAACATTACTAATATGTAATTTTAAATTATATGAATTAGAAAGATGAAGAAAATGAAAAAGTTATTAAAGGACCTTTCTTTTATTTTGAAAATGAAGGTAAATGGTAACAAAAAAAAAAATAAGACTTTTCATTTAAGAAAAAACATCTAATACAATATGAAATAATTTAATGAGTTTATGGTTGTCATCTTAATAACAAACTTTTGTATTCCATTATCAAATATTTCATTTTTTTATTAAAATACAAAATATATATGTAAAAATATAATAAAAATATATATATTCTAATCTTTCTTTTTTAAAATGAATAAATATAACAATAAATAAAAAATGATAACTTAAAATTTATAATATTTTTTCTATATTTTATTAATATACATCATTAACTTGTTTTTTTGAGTTCTTCTAATTCTAATGCTTTCTTCAATGCCTCTTATTAATGTCTAGACTTTATTCCTACTTGACCTCCTCCAATAGTTCTCAATAATTCATGATTCTCATTATAATGTTATCTTAAATCTCTAGCCTTAATATATTTTATAATCTTATACTAAGTTATCAAATTCAGCTTAATCTTCTTTTCTTACTTCAGTCAATGCAACACAAGTAGCAGTTTTTTAATGAACCAAAGCTCCTAATCTAGCCTTATCTAATAAATAAATAATATTATATATTTACTTTTAACAAAAGCAAATGGTACTTCTTATCTTCTGCATAATTATGGTAACCAAACTACTAATTCAATTGGATCTACATCATATGCAATTAAAACTAATTTGGCTTTTTTTGTTTCAACTAATGTTGTCACATGATTTAATCCAAATTTAAGAACATTTACTTTTTTTGAATCAGGTTTTTAATTTTATGTTTTTTATTCTGCAGCCTTGATTAATCTTTATTTCTTTTCTGTCTTTGTTTCTGGAGAATATTTTTTCAATAAAGAATAAACCTTAGAACCTAATGTTAAATATGTTATTTACTTTAATTTTTATCAAGTGTTTTGCTAAATTAATGAATAGCTGCAGGTACTTTAATTCTTTGTAATAAAATCTTTTTTTATCTATGAAGAAGGATATAACGAGGCCATCTCACATATCTTGATAAATCACGCTTTGGTTGAACATCATTTCCAATTCTAAAATTCTTAGCTTCCTTAACAAACAAAGGATTCTTTTTTCTGTCTGCAATCTTTTTAGAAATTTTCTTTGATTTATTGGTCTTTGGTGCTTTTGGCTTTTGTATAATAGATGAAATATTTATACCATAGTTAATGAAAATCTTTTAATATAATTTTTGAAAAAATTACGAAATTAAAATCATTAAAATCATAGATAAGATAAAGTAGCTGCAACAAATAATTTCTTATTCTTCTCAACTCTTTTAAAAGTAGGATGTTATTCATTGAGATATACTTTCAAAATAGCAGTAGCCTTATCAAATGACAATTTGGCACTCTTAAATTTCATCCTATCCAAATATACTAAGGCTAGATTATTTAATACTAGAGCTAATCCAATATTTTATGAATCACTATAAATTTTGTAATGTTCATATACCCATATAAGCAAACAATCTATTCATAGAGTTCCATGGCATCAATACTATTTCCTTATAAATGGTTAATCACTCCCTATAAATTAAGAATCCTTATTATGCTTAAATGTTATTCTCCATATCTATTTGAAATTGATAATGTGATAATTTTATTACAATTTAATGAATCCTTCTTTAGATTAATTTAAATATTCCAATGCAAAATCATAATCCTTTTCAAGATAGTAGATACATCCCAATGTATAATAAGTATCATATATCCTTGGATCAGTATGTGATAGTTTACTCTACAAAATTTATAAGCCTTCATAACATATCTTCTTTGCATCAGTAAAATCATCTATTTATTAATAAATATATATATTTAATATTACTTAATAAAGCATAAACAAATGAGATTTTAACTAATAATTTAGCAACTTCTAATCTCCAATTAATTTATTCATATTAAATTAATGCTTTATTATAATTATCTAAACATTATAAATATTAATTATTAAGTAAGTTGCATTATGCCTTTGTAATGTATATTTTGCATTTTAAATCAAAATCATTTATTTCGAATTAATTTAAACATTTATCTAAACATCTATTATTCAAAAATGTATTATTACTTTTAAGATTCACTAAATTGTCCAAAATCCATTAAAAGTTAAGATGCATAACAAAGTGATTAAATACAAATTATTATTAATACAGAAATCTACTATTAATCTTAACATTATTTTAATTTCTCATTTCCTTCTCTATATGCATCCATCATCTTCTCTAAAGCCATTTTCTAATTACCATCTTTCATAAATGACAATCCAGTTTGAATCTTTTGACTTAATAAATTGTCCTTTAACAAATGTTCAAAACTGCAATTTTTCTTTGAATATAAGGAAATTTAATCATCATCAGATTTTTCACTCTTTTATTCATTATTATTCTATTCAGGTGTTTCATTTTAGGTTGGAGGAATAATTAATTTCTTATTCATTTTGACACTAGAATGTGAAGATGTTGAAGAACCTTATTTATCATTATTCTCAGTTTGTTCAGAACTTTAACTAGTCTATTATTAAATTACATTATACAACATCCATAGGTTAGTGTTATTTAGAGAATAAATCATTTTTCTTTTATTGCAAAGGAGCTAATGCAAACTTATGTTATTTTTTAATCACTATACTGATTTTGAAACCATTTTATATCTACTTTTGTAAAAATCTTGCTGTCTTATCTATTCCTTACTATTCTTGTTATAATTCAAGAAAATCTAATATTTCAAAATCTTCCATTTTTTACAATAATTATTTTTATTAATTTATCCAATAATCATATCATTAAACTTAAATGTCTAAATCCATTTTGATTTTCTCTTGAATGTAATTTAAATAATCAAGATCAGTAATATAATGATTTATAGACTTTTGAAATTGAATCAACAATTATAAATTGATTGTAAAATAATAAACAAGATCATCAAAAATTATGAAGAACTTTAATTAAATTTATATATTTTGATACTAATCAAGGGATATAATCTTTATAAAGAGATTGCAATAAATCAATAGGATCTGTAAATTGTGTAAATTTATCTAATTTCAGATTTTAACTATTATATTATCTAACATCTCGAACTGATCTTAATGACATTAAATAGTTTTGCAAATATAGCAGTTCCTACAATCACTACAAAAACTTACTTAATCCATTTTATTATCATAATAATTAATAATTGGAATTCCATTTAATGGTTAAAGACAGAAAGAATATGCTGCATTATCCACTAAAACCATATCATTTAAAGATCTATTTCCAATTACTCTTAAATCTTTTATATATGCTCCTTCTTCTGTTTACATACAACTATCTCTAAAAAATCTATGAGCAATCACATTTTTATTTGGATCTAAATAATCAATGACTACATTTGCATAACAAGAATGTGATGCAGTAAAAACTATGATTTCAAAATGTTTATTTAAAGTCTATAATACTTATTATGCATAAGGTCTAATATTTATTGAAGCCTAATATATTAACTCTTATCATACCTCTATAATCTCTCCAGATGGGAATTTAATAGGTAATATCACATCTCCTTGAATTTGAGTTGATTCATTACAATGAATTAAAGTTTCATCTAAATCAAATACTATTGTTTTTTTATTTGTGGAAGGTAAATTAACTTTTTTATCTTCAAAATTAGTTATTATTTTAACTGATTTCTAAAATTAAGATGCTTGCATAGTTTAGAGTAAATGTTCTCTAATTAATTCAATTGGTCTTGTTATTTCAGGTTACATATATCCTTTAATAATTGAAGAGATATAATATAAAAATAAAGATTCTACTGGTTTTTCTTAAGAATTTTTCCTTTTAAAATTTGTCTTAATTGAACTACCAGCTTTTGCAGAATCTGGTTTTAGGTTTTTAAAGTTATTTTTATTTTCAGATAAAGGAGCTTTAACTTAAGTAACAAAAGTAGATAAACTTGGTTTCTTAATTATAGTACCTTCAATAGAAGATTTATATTCATTATTATTAGTATTATTATTATTAATTAGAGTACTTGACTTTAATTTATTCTATTATTAAGGAGTTAATTCTCTTTATTCTTTCTATCCTCTATTTGTAAAATCAATTTACACAGACTTTTATACTTAGATTGAATTCTGATTATTTTATGTATTTTATGAGAAAAACTTTGATGCTATATTATTTTTGGATTATCTCTAACTATTATCAATATGAGATTTTATTGATGAAATTTTATTTTCTAAATAAAGGAGTTTATCCTATAATTTTTTATAATCTTAAGGTGTCTATTTTTATTTAGCTGATGGATTTCTTTCAACATTGGAACGTATTTCAATATTCTCTTTTTAATCCTTATTACTAAAATATTTAGAATAAAAGTTTTGATTTTGTTTTTGTAATTATATTGAACTTTTCATTGTTTACAAATTCTATTTCTATTGTGAACTGGATGAATTTGGTCTTTGCAAATCTTTGCTTGATCTATTCCCCAAATTCTTTTCTGAAAGTGGTCTTCGTATTTCAATCATATTCAAAAGCTGTTAAAAATTAAAATATTTATAGTAATAAATCACTTTCAAAATTCATATTATTTCAGCTAAGATTTTTTGTTTGTTGAAAATCTCTTAAATGGAGATGAGAACTACTATAATTGCTTAGTTCCCATAATTAATTTAGTCTTTAATTCCTTATATTTTGTAGCCCTTGTCATAGCAGCTTATTCCTCTGTTAATGATAACTTATCCAATTCTTCCATAACCTATATATATATATATAATATAATGAAATACATCTCTATGTTAATGTTCAAATTAATCATTAATTCTTCTAGCCAATTCTAATTCATGATTTAATTCTTCAGTAGTTTCCAAACATTCCATATGCATAGACTTCAATCTCTCAATCTCATTTCTCTAATCAATTATTGTTTTCTCTTGATGTTTAACTGTTTGATCTAATTAAATCACTTAAGCATTTAATTCCATGCAAGTATCAGCCTCTTACTAATAGTTTTTTTAATAAAGCAAACTCTCTTATTTAAACTTCTCTTTCTACTTATGTAATTCTTCTAAATCATTTTATAATTATGAAATATAATTCTAAGCTTCTTAATATTACATTCTTGTATATTTAAGGTTTTCATTCTTTGATTTCACTTCATTATTAATCTAGATATTCCAATATAATAATAAATACATTTTCTACATCAGCCTTATAAATTAATGCCTACTTTTCGAGATTATCATATTCAGTCTACAATTAAGAAAACTACTTTTCTTTTTCATTTAATTTATCCAATACATCTTCATAAGTATTATTTAATATTTCTCTATCATGTAATAATCTATTAATATTTTGTTATTCATTACCTTTTTCTTTCATCTTTAGCTGCTTATAATTCTGTTTCTAATCTAAGCTTTTCTTCATATAATTTTCTATTGTTTTCTTACAATAATGCAATGTCACTTTTTACTCTTTGATTTTCTTAAGTTCTATGCTCTGTTATCTCTTTAAATGCCAAATTCTCTGCTTTCATCTCTTAATTTTCTATATGTTTATCAGTTAACTAGGATTTCAAATTATCAATTTCATTTCTCAAATTAGCAATTGTCTTTAATGTCTAATCACTTCTATTTCTAAATTCTACTTCATTTCTCATCTTCTCTTCATGTAACATATTATATCTACTATTATATGTGATTTCACCTATGCTCTAATGATTTCAAATGTGTAGCCAATTCTTAATAATCTCTATCATTTTGTTTAAGTTCAAAGTTTTCAGCCTTCAATTATGAAATCATCAAATCTTTTTAATCATTCTCAAATTTTGCAGGAGAATAAAATGGCTAATTTAGAAAGTTTTTTTATGAATAAGACATTTTATATATATATATATATAATATTTATAACAGTGCTATTTAATTAAATTTATATTTATTATTAAACTCTAAGATATGTTAAAAAAGATAACCATTTCTATAAAACAACTAGAAAATACTCATACACTTTAAATGGCAATAGCATATATGTTGATTGCTTATTTTTTCCATGCTGTATAGGCTACTTTTTACAAATGCGGTCATTTTACTGTTGTTCCCCAATTCATGTTTGTAACTTCATTTATATCCTTTATCACTCTACATCTTGTACAATTTAATTAAAATATGTATCCAAAAGAAAAAATGCCTCACATTATTAGGTCTTAAGTAGGCATTGGTATTGGAACATTATTCTACTTTTATGGTGTAAACTTGATCTCTTTATCAGAGGCAGTAATTCTATTTTGTACAAATTCTATATGGAGCTAAATAATGGTTAGTATAATGAATAAAGAAGGAATTACTAAATCAAGACTTTTTAATTCAATTTTATGCATTATAGGAGTGATTTTAATTGCAAATCCTTCATTTTAATCTAAGGATCCAATCTAACATATAATTGGATGCTTATGTATCTTGATTTGTAGCATTATTTAATCCTATGCATTCATTATAATGAAATAAATTGGCACTTAAATACCTTCATCAGTTACTGTTACTTATTTTAATATTATTATGCTATTTTTGTCAAGTTTATAGTAATAATATATTGCTAAATTTGAGTATTTTGAAGGTTACTTTTTCTATACTTTAGGATTTAGTACCTTTACACTTTTAGCTTAAATTATAAAATTTAGAGCATAAACAATGGTTACCTATGATAAGATATGTAACTATTCATATTCCTAAATGATTTACATTATAATAATAGATTTTTTTGTTTTTCATTCTATTTTGAGTATAAATGGTGCTATCGGGGCCTTGTGTATAATATCTGGAGTTTATAAATAATTGAGAGAAGATAGATAAATAAAATGACATTTAATTAAATGTATCATTAAATAAATCAAATAGACCTCAAATATATTTCCTTCATTATTAATTAATAGAAGTAATAGTAAATATTTAAAGAGATTAAATATATATAACAAAATTATCATAATATTATTGATAATATTCAATTTATTATTTGAAAAATTTTGAATCTTATTGAAATTTTATACATTTCTATTTATTGTTTTTAGAGTATAACTTTTAAAGTTTTTTACATTAAATATATTTTATGAAACTAATTTTAAAAACTTTAAATTTTTAATTAGCTCATTTATAATTAAAAAATATTTGCTCTTCTTTATTTAAATTGCTACATTTTAAGTTACTAATGAATTACATTATCATTCTTTTTATTTATATACATGATTCTGACCTAATTTAAATTATTTATTCTTAAGCATTAAATTCCTTTAATATTCATTAAAACTATCTTATTTATCATAATAACTTAATTTATCTTATAAATTGGAAGAAATAATTTGATCAATAGTCATTTCGTTTGATTAATCAATATTTATATTGTGATCAATTGTAAATTGATTATAAGAATAGAGAATATTAATAAATTTTTTAAAAAGGAAACTATCATATTTTTTAATCTTTTTATTTTTACTTATGTTTTTAATGATTATTTTTTATATTTATTAAAAATTTGATGTTTATTGGAAGATTTATATATAACATCAATCTTAAATTTATAAAATTTATTTTGCTCTTCCTTAATTTAATGATTCAAGTAATGTACATGCCTTACAAATTTTATTTGATGATAATAAATTGCATTTTTAGCATAATTACTTTTATGGCATTTTTTAATTTTAATTAGGAGCATCTAATTATTCACAAGAATGAATTAAATCAATTACTGCACTAGGTCTATAAAATATATTATATATGATAATACCTTATAGCTTCTAAATTCTTAATTAATTCTCTAACATGTCCTCTAAATGCATTAGGAGAATAAGTGCATTCTGTACTGAAATAAATGAGTTTTTTATAATGAGCATACATAACAATTTCTTTTTCATAAGTGTATTTAAATGGTTTACATCTAGGTAATGTAGCAATTCCATTATCTCCATCATCTCCTGTAATAATTGCAGTTGATTTTGGTAATCTAAATATATCTCCTCTTAATAGATTCATTAAAAATGTTTCTGCCATATCATCTGCATTATGTCCAGTAATGATTTTATCAACTCCTAATTATATTGCACCTCTATCTAATGCTTGTCTTCTAAATACTCCACAATATGTGCAATTATTATTAAGACCAATTTATGCAACAACCTCATCCATAGACCAATTAAAGAGTTCTTTATATGATAAGATTCTTAAATCTAATTGATATGTAATTTAATTCTATTTAACTGTTTCTAAAGAATCATCTCTATATCCTTTGATTCCTTCATCAATTGATAATAAGTATAAATTCAATCCATAATTATATTTCTTATTTAACAAAGTAATAACATGAACTAAGACTGTTGAATCTTTACCTCCTGAAGCAGCAATTGCAATTTTTTCACCAGGTTTAAACATTTAATTAGATATGATTGTATGATGAATTTCATCCTCAAATGCTTAAAAAAAGCAATTTTGGCAAATCAGATTTCCAGTTTTTGGTCTTACCATGAATGCCTTCTAAACATTACAACTTTAGCAATATTTTACCATTTATTTAAATTATATATTGATTAAAATGTGAAAGAATATATAAATATTATAAATATTTAGTATTTATTTTTTTATATTTTATTTAAATAATAACAAATTTGATATTCATTGCTATTATTGTTATTATTATTATGATTATGGTTATTATTAATATTATTCTAAAGATTATTTTTCTACATAAACAACTCTTTATGGATCATTATTTTTTCTTCTATAATAATTATTATTATTATTATTTTTATTATTATAATTATAATTATTGTTATTGTTATTTCTCCTTTATCCATTATTATTATTGTTGTTATGTTATCTTTATTTATAAAAATTACCAAAAGTATCTGTGTCAATCTAATTTTAATTTCTTTGTTGAGTTTATCTATCTTATTTTTAAGTACTAGTAGAAAGAGAATCGAAAAACGAAGTAGGATTATATTTAGGTTTACCCTCTTGCTTTTTAATTTTCTCTATTTCATTTGCTTTTTAAAGCATTTCATCGAAATCAAAAGCTCTAGGATTTGTTCCATTTGATTTTATTTATTAATTTTATGGGAAATTATTTTAGAATTACCCTCTAAACTCTTATTACTGCTCTATTTATTCAATATTTTAAGGTGGTTGGAGATTTTAAGGTTATTAGGATTAATTTTCTTATTTGACATTCTCGAATTTCAGATCTTCAGACTTATTCTCTTCTAAAGTTTTGAAACCTTTAATTTCAGCTGCTTTAAACACTAAAATATCATAGCTTTATTAATTTGGGGGTATTTCATGATCTTAAATAAATTATTTAAAATTATACCAGGCCTTCTACCCTCCGTTCCAAATGAACGTACATCTTTCAATGCAATTGTTTATTATTAAGGATTAATTTAATAAATAGTACCCTCATATCTGATCTCTGATTTTGTGATAATGCTAACCTTTGAATTAAATACTTAAGCCATTTTTATAAAATAAAAATAAACTAAATCTAAATATTACACTATTCAAAAAAAAACTTCGATTTTTTTAGTATTTTCCTTTATCAAATATATTATAAATCTTCTCATATTGATGGTTAAAATATTTATGATGTATATTTTGATATTAATTTTAATGTCAACATTTATTGAATAAATATATGATTACAAAGAATATTTTTAATTAATTGTAAAAATCATAAAATTTATTATTTTACTTGCTTAACATAAAATGTATAAGAATATAAAGAAATCATTTTATTTTTAATTTTTTTTCAGCTTTATCAGCATTCTTTTTTTTAAATTAATCTAATTGTCTTAAAATAGATAATTCTTCAGGCATAGATGGCCTTGGATTGGTATAGAAATATTCATGTAATAAACTTTCCATAACTCCTATGCGTTTCTATATTTATTTATAAAATAATTTACTTCTGGATCCCATGTTAACATTCTTGATATTAATTCTAGAGCTTAAGGAGATGCATCCTTAATAACATTTTATAAATTTGGTCGACAATGTTAAAACTTCTCTAATTCTTTTAAGATTTATTTATTCCCATTTTTATGTAAGTCTGGCCAAACAGAAGCAGTTGGATATCCTAACATTTCACACATTAATTGTAATTGATGAATTTCAGATTTACCCTATTAAATATAAATAGAAATAACCTAAAGAATTGGAAATCCTCGATTGATTAATTCAGCAAATACACAACCAACTGACCATATATCAATTGCAGTATTATAGTTATTCATCTGACATAGAAGTTCAGGAGCTCTATACCAAAGAGTGACAACTGGATTTGTATACTTTTTTTATGGAATTTCTGAGATTTGTAAATATTGATTACCATATTCTCTTGCTAATCCAAAATCTGCAATTTTAACAATTCCATCATTGGTCAATAAGAGATTAGATAATTTAATATCTCTATGTAAAATGAAATTGGAATTGATATAGGCTAGTCCATTTAAAAGTTAAAGTACTATACATTTAATCTCATTTTCACGAAAGGAATAATTATCTATTGATATATTAAATTGTACCTATAAACATATTATCTACTAAAATAGCTAAGTCTATAGCACAATATTCAAATACTAGATGAATACTATCTTTAATTGGTCCCACAGCTACTTCCTAATTATGAATCAATAATTTACTAATAAATTTACAACATTTGGATGTGCTGATAATCTTTATAATATTTTGATTTCTCTTAAACATGTTATTGGAAATCCTTCATTGCTATCATGAATTTTAACTTTTTTGATAGCAACAACTTAATTTTTCTTTTTATCTTTTGCAGCATATACTGTGCCATAACTTATTTAAAAATCAATAATTTTTATTACGTTCCTTCACCAAGTTTATCTAATCTTTCAAATTCTTAAATTGATCTACAATTAGCAAACCAATGCTTTCTAATTTCATCATTCATAAATTCATTTTTTCTCATATTATTGTAATTATAATTATAATGATTAAAGAACTTTTATTATTATTATACTTTATCATTTTGGTATATGCATTTGCTAATACAAAATGTGGAGGTAAAAGATATAAATGTGGAGAAGAAAATTAGAATAATGTCTGTGTAAATGTGTCAGAGTATAGAGGTAAGGTTCATGAATTAACACCATGTTCTGATGATAAAACATGTTTATGGTAAGATGCTGCTTTTTAAAAACCTGTATATTGTACAGACAAACCAACAAAAGATAAGATTCTACCAGGAGAAGGTTGTAGTGGAGATAGCGATTGTTTATCAAATAGTTGTAAAAGTGGAGTTTGTTTGGGATTGAAATTGAATCAATAATGTGCAGGACATTAATATTGTGATGTTGGTTATTATTGTGATACATATTGTAAATAATAAGTTCAATTCGAATAATCATGCTAAAATGATTATTAATGTACTAACAATTGTGTATGTAATTTGGGGAAATGTGCATATTACTATTCATTAGAAAATAATATTAAAGCTGATAATCCAAAGGCATGCTATTATGGATATATTAATCCAAATAATGGAACTTGCCAAAATGGACCTCATAGTTTAACAAAGAGTAAACCATGTGAAACTGATACTGATTGCATTTTATTGGATAGTGATTAAAAGTTATACGGTTATTCTGAATGTTAATGTGGATTCAATGCTGGCGGGTTTTCTTATTGTAGTTTGGCTGAAGGAGATCCTGAATATTTGAAGATATTAGAATTATTCTAATGGTTATTACAAGTTAATCAATATTGCCATACTATTTTGAGATATGGACCTTGTTCTTCTCTTTATTTAGATGAGTATATTGATTATTAAAAGGCTGTAAAATTCTATGAACTATAATCATAAATCATGTTTAATGATGAATGTATATAGAAGATTTATACTGATGAATATTGGGGCATTCATTCAAGCAGATTATATATACTCTTAATTATTTTATTATTATTATAATGAGACATAAAATATATATTTAATTTTGAAATTCAAATTCAAAAAAATATTATTTTAATTAATAAAATGTATAGAAGTTAGAGGTTGAGAATGAAATCATAAAATCATTTATCTATATCTCCTCCTATCATCAAAAGAAGGTTAAGAAATAAGAATGAGTACAGCGAAATTATAGAGCCCACAGATAAAAAGAAATAACATCTCATATAAGATATTGCAGCAACCAAATAAAAGAGCTTAACCAATTTTGCCTTAACAGTTACACCAAAATATGCTTAAGAGAGAGATTATGATGATGATGAAGATATTCTATTTCATGTAATCCCCCCATATTAATCATATAGTCTAAGGGTAAAAAAAGACCTTGGTCAGAATAAGAGGATAATTTGCTTATCAAATTGGTATAAATGCATGGTCCACAGAAATGGACATTCATAGCTGAACACTTACCTGGAAGAATTGGCAAATAATGTAGAGAGCGTTGGCATAATCATTTGAATCCATAAATTAAGAAATCACATTGGGGTGATTATGAGGAATGGATTCTCTTCTTATCTCATCGAGTAATGGGTAATAGATGGGCTGAGATGGCTAAATAATTAATTGGACGAACAGATAATTCCATTAAAAATCATTGGAATTCAGCTATGAAAAAACGAATCCCTGAAATGGAAGAGAGATTAAAGGATATTCGTAAAAGAGGAGGTAAAATAATATAAATAATTTATAGGTATGTCAAATTAAGAATTAATGAATTCTTTTACTTCTCTTGAAAGATAACTATTATAAAAATTACTAACATCTTAATAAAATGGATCAATGTCTCCTAGATCTTATTCCCCTAATAATATTCCTAGAAGAAGAACAAATAAATAATAAAATTATTTAAATCCCAATTCTGTAAATTCTTATATTTCTAAAATGATGAATGAAATTAAAATTGACGGAATTGAAAGTTTTAATATGGAAAATAAAATGCTCAAAAAAACCGCTAAAATTGTAGATTCCATTTTTTGGAATGAAGATAAAGTAGATGATATTTAAAATAATTTATACGAGTATATTTAAGAAAAAGTAGGCGCTCATGGTTATGATCAAGATGAAAAAGTAGATAGATGGATAAAAAACTTTTGGATTATGTGTTAAGATGTATTTACGGTTTCAGTTATTAAAGACTTTTTATCATAAAGACCCTCATTCTATTATAATTATTTACATAAATATAAATAGGATGCTGCTAATTAGGTTTCAAAGAATTTAAGTCGAATTTATGAATAAACTAATAATAGTGATGAATATTAATTACCTTCTCTAAATCAATTCAAAACACCTTTGAAAGAAAAGGTTGATCCTCATCAAAATAATAATAATAATAATAATCAACATAATGATACTAACAGTCCTAGTAATCTCTGTTTAGAAGTTAAATATGATGATCACTTTCAACATTAAATAGAATCACCATCCAAATTACTTAACCTTCTCACACCAAAACATCAAGCTTAACATTAGTCTAATAAGAAAACACCAAATCTCAAATCAGAAAATAAAAGCTTGATTTAGCATTCTTAATTTAAAGATAATTTAAGTTTGAGCAAACTAAAATTTGAAACTACTCCACTCAAAAAAAACTCTGCTTTCAAATTTTATAATAAAATACAATTGCATTAGTAATAGTAGCATTGAATCATATATTTTGTTTTTTTTAATTAATATATAATTAAATAATAAGATATATTTGTCTATCATTATTGCTAACCAAATTATTAACTCTTTTTAACTGTTCCAAAATATCTATCACCAAAATTTCCAATTCCTGGTGCTAGATAATTGAAATCTTTTAATAAAATTGGATCAACTTAAGCAGTGATTATTTTAATTTTTGGAAATTCTCTAAACAATTTCTCTATTCCTTATTCACAACTCACTAAAGTTAAAAATGTAATGTTTTCCTATTTCACACCTTGATTTTTTAAGATTCTTAAAGCTAATGTTGCACTACTACCTGTAGCCAACATTGGATCCATTAATATAACCTATTAATCCTTTATATTAGATGGTAGTTTCTAAAATAAATATGATGGTAAGGCAGTGTCTTCATTTCTTTATATCAATATTTATCCTATCGATGCTCCAGATACAGCATTTAAGCCTTCAAATAAAAATGCATTTCCTGATCTTAAAATACTCACAAAACATATTCTAATATTCGAATTAATATTACTCTTCATCCTCAAATTTCACTTCATGTGCATCATAATATCCTAAAGGAGACTGTTTTACATGCTTTTTCTTTTCTATTTATGAAATTGCTTATTCAATAAGTATTCTAATTAAACGATCTGAATTTTTTCGGAATTCCTAACCTTTATTTATCATATTACCACAGTATCAGTTTCTACATCTCTTATTATAGATAATATGTGTTCAGTGTAGCTTCTTTCAATTATTGATAAGTTCTGATGTTTCTTTAATAATTTATTTAAATCCTATTCATTAAGAAAATGATAATGAGGCAATTTTTCATCCTTAATTGTCTTACATAAAACATATGTTGTATTAAATAATGAAAGATTCACACCTATTCTTATTAAATTTTTAAACATTATATTTATTATTTGTTTTTGGCAAAAAAAATAAATTAAATAGATATATAAGATTCATTCTAGTTTATTCAATTCATCTTATAAAAATTATCAATATAATAATAATAATATAATAATAATATCCAAAATCTCATAAATTTTATTCATTTATCCTCTTAAAATTGAACTAATAGTATACAATAATGAAAAGCACCTTTTTTTCATAAAATTTTTATTTTTTACATCTGTTCTTAATGTTAAATATTACTTTAGATTATTAAAAATATAATCAATCCATTAAATCATAATTATTATAAGACTATATTTAATTCACTTTTTATAATTTATTATTCTTTTGTATTAAAATTACAATATTCTATTCTAATATATTTCAAAGAAATCTATTTTTTCATTATTAGAATCACAATTTCTTAAACTTCCTAATGTATCTTTCTATGATAGTTACACAGCTGTAATTTTAGTTTTTCTAAAAATTCAATTTTATTACTAATAGTCTTAGATTCATCTTAATATATTATCCTTTAGATGGTATTTTATAAAATCTTTGGTATCTAAATTAATTCAATTTTATCCCATCGTTCTTTTCATAATTATCTTTCATCTATAAATACATTTTATTTTATTACTTAAATGTAGTTCAATAAAATTAAAGCAAACTGATCAAATAAAATAATAGTTTATTGAATATAAATTATTAATTTTCTTTATATCAAATTTTTCTAATTCTTATGAAAAATTAAACATTTATTTTTGTTAAATATTATTTCATCAAATTTTGCTGATCTTATAAATGATGATTCAATTTTATATTGACTTAATTCATAATTTATTTTCATTAGTATTTTGTGAATATATTCAATTAATAATATTTGAATTCTAATTTAAGGAGGAAAGGTTAAATTCAATTTAGATAATTTTCTTCATAAATAAATATTATTAAACTATTTATTTTAGGAATTTATTTATTCTTTTCTAAAAATACACTTTATTCATGTTTATAAAAATTAATTAATCAAATTTTTTACTGAATGAATTTTTATGTTAATATTTTACAAAGAATCTCTAGTATAATAAATCCTGGAGATTATAATACATAAATTGAATAATTTTTTCTGTTTGAAAGCAATTTAGAGGAATATACAAAAATATATCAAAAAATTATCTGATATTTAAGAAAAAAAGAATAAAATTTTTTAAGGATGATTTTATATGATTAATAATAAAATCAATTTTAAGATTCAGAGGACTTTTCAACAAAATCTGACTTATGGGAATCACATTTTGAAAGATATTTATTTTTACATCCTAATTTGAATAAATAAATACTATTAATATGGAAATTTGAATATTTTGAAAATAATCCTTTTGCTCTTTCTTCACATTTGATCAATTCATGATCTTTCCAGGGGAATCTCTTATAAGTTTTAATTTTCTATCAAAAATAAATATTAAAAAATACTTCATAATCTCTAGCCATAATGATTTTGATCAATTATTTAGTCATGTTTTCTAATTTCTCTTCATTTTCATTTAAGCATATATTCTTGAATTGAACTATTTATTTAAATGAATGAATACTTAAAAATTAAGCATAATATTTGGAGAACCTTTTTGACTCAAATAATCTTTTTAAATAAATATCATTCATGGTTTTCATCTTAGAATCTTTTCTAAATGGAATCATATCATCAAAAGATTCTTGTTAATGAGATTTCATGAATTCTTAATCATCAGAAAAGAAAGAATTATAAAATATTTTATCCCTTTCTTCAGCTGTAATTCCTTCTTTTTCTTTATAATCAATTTCACTTTTGATAAAGAGAAAGCATCTCCTGATAATAAATTTGGTCATTTCTTCTTTTGTTTTATTAATTAAGATATATCGTTATTTAATCATGTTTGGAAGGTCTTTTTATAAGGATGACAAGATCTACGATTAATATAAGATGATATACTTTTAAATTTTCAAACACAAACTTATCAAATATACTATCTTTTAATAAGGAAATATGTTTAGATAGGTATTTGAGTAGCATTTTTAATTCTTTTTCAGCTGCTTCTTCAAATTTCATATTGTTATTGATTAGTTATGATTCAAATAAGCTAGGCTCTGGGAATTAGGAGGCTTAATCACGAGTTTGTTTTTTGAGAGTTTGTAATGTATAAGTGGTAGTTGGAAGCATATAAAACTATTAAAGATTGAGTTATGGATAATTCATATATGATGGGACATATGATAATGGAAGCATAAGATAATTTAAAAAAATTAGATGTAAAATAAAATATCTTTTATTTATTTGAAATAATTTATCCAAATGGCATAGTAGTCAGAATTAATTTATTATATTTCAATTCAATTAATATTTATATTAAAAACTCATAACTACATATTGCAATTATTTAAATAGGTTTAATAAATTATCATCCTACTTATTGCTTATATTTGAAAATAAAATTCTTATATAAATGAATAAATCTATTAATAAGTTTAATATGAAAACAAATTGGACATAAATTAATATCTGTTATAATAAATTATTATATTAAAGTATAATGAATACATGTGATAAACCAATAATAAAATTACTGATAATTGGAGATTCTGCTGTTGGCAAAACTAACATTCTAAAGAGATTCTGTGAAAATTAATATACTTAAAACTTTGTTTCAACTATTGGTAGATTAATGACTTAAATTTAGAACAGGCATAGATTTCAAATTTCGAGATTTAGAAGTCGAAGGAAAACTAATGAGATTGTAAATTTGGGATACAGCTGGTTAAGAGAGATTTAGAACCATTACTTCAACTTATTTCAAAGGAGCAATGGGAATTATATTAGTCTATGCAGTAAATAATCTTGAAAGTTTTCAAAACATCTAAAATTGGATGAATTAAATAAAACAAAATGCATCTGAAAGTGTAATTATTTTGTTAGTAGCTAACAAATCAGATCTTAATGATAGAGCAGTTTAATATGAATAAGGTAAAAACTTAGCAGATTCTTATGGCATTAAATTTTTTGAGACTTCTGCCAAAGAAGGTATAAATATTATTGAGACTTTCTAATGTATTTCTAAATAAATTAAAGATATTATGTCATTAGAAGAAAAAGTATAAAATATTAAACTGGAATAAACAAGTTAGAATGCCAAATCCAATTTTTGTTGTTGATTCTATAAATTAATATTTATTTAATAAGAGAATTAACATGAATATTCCTTAACTCAAATAAATTATTTTAAGAATTTCTTTGCACCATCTAAAGAAATTGGTATCTTTGGTTTTGGAGGAATACTTGATTTATCTTCTTATGTAGTTATTTTTAACGAACCATAAGATGTAAGTTAGGTACTTTTTACAAAAAGATCATTTTTGTTTCTACTTGAAACAATTAATTGACCTAGAATCTAAGGTTGATTTTTCATAGCTTTAGGTGATGAACCTGTAATTTAAGTGTGGATTTTCCCATTTTGCAAATATTCAGTTTTTTATTAGTTTGAATAAGTTCTCTTTTATTTTTATATCACTGATTATGCATTGTAAATTAATTCAATGAGTTAATTCTTTTAATCAGTAATTAATTAGAGAGCAGAACTTCTTAAATTATTATTTGGAGAATTAATCTATGATTTATTTTACTATTCTTAATGTTATTAATTTTCGAGATTTTGTTCTTAATTAGATATTGGTTATAATTTATTAAGATGAAGATTTCTATAATTTAATAGTTAGTCTTATCTATTAAATTTAAATAATTTCTCATTGCCTTTTCTTTCATTGCATAATTATGCAAAATGAGATTCTTCTTTTAATGATTTTACCCGATTTGATGCTCCTTTTAAATATTACCTTTTATAATTGGTCTTGGTAGCTGGCAATCTTTAAAAGTCCCTATAACTTGAGGTTCCAGTTGTAGAGGCAGTTCGAATTCCTCTAAATTCTTAGACTGAAACTGAGACTGTAGTGAACATATTTAATTTAATAATTAATATAATTTATGACATTGATAATAAACATGATAATTATTCATGAGCTGAAAAGACTTAGAGTTTCTAATATTTCTTTTTTTGCTTCCTCTAAATCTGTTTATGCTTATTCAAAATATAATGAAAAAGCACCCAATAATTTTGGATAATCTTTGTGATAATCATGTGCTTTTTCTTTTAAAATTTCTATTCTTCTTTCATCCAATAATTTCTCTCTCTCAAACTAATTTAAGGCCTAAAGAATTAGTTCTAAATCATAAATTCATTAAGGTTACCTTATTGCAACAATTTTGATATACTTTTTATAGATTCAACAAAATCTTCTATATTTTTGTTAAATAGGTACAATTCAAAAACTCCTTTAATTCTTTATTCATTTCTTCTCTAATTAATAACAGATAACATGTAATCATCTATTTTTAATTGTCCTTCTTTTTATAATTTTTTCAACAAGTCTTCAAATTATTTTTTGATTTAATCCTATTGACTTAATTTTCTGACAGCAGAAATAAATCCATTTAAGTCTTAATCTTATTGATACTCTTAATATAATTCAACAATTTTCATATCTCTTTATTCATTTGGCATATTCTCTAATCGATTCTTCTCTTCTGCTGAAAAATATTTTCTTATTTGCAATAAAATCTCTTTAGCAGTTAATTACTTTTTTGGCTCAGTTATTGGTTATTGATCTTCATCAGTATTAGGTGAATTAATCTAATGATAATTATTAATATTTATACATTAGTGAATTTTGAATATTATTTTATAATTATCTTTAAATTTTCTAACATATCTTCAGCATCTTGATTTTATAAATAAGTTTCAAAAGTTCCTAGAACCTATAAATCATTATCCATAAACATTTTTAATAAAAAGTTTTTTTCATTATCTTAAAGATGATTTTATAATGTAAATTATCTCACTTAATTCATAAATAAGTTATACATCTTTATTTTTCTATAGTCATCCTTTTTAATTTATTATTCAGATAATAATTTTCTATTAATATTATATTAAAATACATAAGTTTACTTCTGGTACCATTAATATTTCTAGATTATTACCATCCTTATACAATTTCATATAGTTGTTAATTATGTTCTGAAAACAATAATTCAACTTATCTAACTTTTGGTTCATCCAAATCCATATCCCAAAGCATATCTTTAAATATTTATTATAATTCTTTTTCTTCCCGAATTGAATAAAATTAGTCAATCTTTTCTAAATTAGCTTATCTTTTTTCTTTTTTTGTTTACATAAAGTATTCTTCATTAAAAATAATATCTCCAGCAGCTACTTCTGATGGAATAATTCTCTTTTATGCAGAGATTTACTCAGATCTACTCATTATATCATTTTTTTAAAAGATTTGTTATTGAATTTCTTAGGCTGGTTTTTAGATTGGCTATGAGTTTTCAAAATTTTATTCATTTTATTATTGTAAAGGTTATGTTTAATGTAAATGTATAACTTAGTTTTCATTTGTGTGTTTTTATTATTTTTTTAATAACTATTATTACAATTACGATTGTTATTATTGTTATTCTTAATGTTAATGTTAATGTTAATGTTATTGTTAATGTTATTATTATTATTATTATTATTATTATTATTATTATTATTATTATTATTATTATTATTATTATTATTATTATTGTTATTATTATTGTTATTGCTATGGTTATTATTGTTATTGTTATTATTATTCGTTTGATTATGGTGTTTAAGTCTATGCATTATCTGGTAATTAAAAATTTGGCATTAATACACTATAAGGTGAAGGTGCTTTAGGAAATTGCTTAAATAATACGATCTCTTTTGATACTTATGTTTATTATTTTTCTGGTTAATTAAGATTTTGATTTTAAGTTTATACTGTATTTATTGCTTTTCTTAAATCATTTATAAATAATTCTAAATTATTTTAGTATCTAAAGTGTTGTAATACAGCATGTATAGATCCAGAATGACTATTTCTATATTCATGAATCATAGTAATTTCAGATAATTTGAAGTTTTACTATAATAATTCATTAAACTTCGAATCTGAGTAAATCTATAATGGTTTAAGAGAAGGTTATTCTCCTCCTCGTTGCATTTTATTGTAAATATCTGTACATAATTACAATAAGACTTGATCCTATTGATTCCATAATACATTGATCATTCCAAATTATTCAGAAGTGTAACTGTAATTATTTATTTCAATAACTTTATTTTTGATATCTTCTAATCTTTATAGTAAATTATTTTGTGTAGAATCTTATTATAATGAACGATTAGATTCTTAAGAATTAATGTTAATTTGCTATTATGGTTTAGTTTGACGTTTGCTTTATTTGAGAGTTTAGAATGGAGATGTTGGTCTCTCTTGATATGTACAATTCTCAACAATTTTGTTTAATTTCTCACATAATTATTATATGTTTATACTATTTTACAAATAAAATTGCAAGACTTGAATAATTTCTTTGTTTTCTTCTATTAATAAACGCTTTACTAATCTTGCCATTGTAACATCTAATATTTCCTTTTCTTCTAGATCACCTACTAAGCCAAATAACATATCTTATTAACTGATAATTGATTCATTTTGATAAGCATTACTTTATTATTATTATGATTAATTTTATTATTAATATCTATAATCTTCAAAGTTCTCACTACCTCTTGAGGGAGCTCTTTGAATGAGTTTAGCTTAGACTCTAGTAATTAATTTTGAAGCCCCAACATTTTAATTCATATATAAAGAATTATTAGACATTTATGATTCTTCTACTAATTTTCGAATAGATTTGCTTCTTCTTTTATCAGGAGATTATTGAGATGAGATTTAAGATTGCTATTTAATATTTGAAGTTCTTGTGCTAGTACCTTATAACTTGGCTTAAACAAGTTTATGAATAATTTCATCCATTTATCTCATTTTTTTATCATTATTCAACTAAATGGAAACAATCTTTTTAGATCCTTTATAGATCCAAAGCAATTTATTATAGAAATCATTTTCTCTTGCCTGATCTTGTAATCTATTACTAAAGGAATAGAAAAAGTTAACCCAATTGTTGAAGTTGTTGATCAAGGGTTCGAGAGCACATAGAAAATCTAGCCCTTGATAATCCTTTTCATCAATCAAGTAAATACAGGTGTATTGATCTCCACCTAGAATCTACTGGAATTCTTCTAAATCATATATGAAATCAATAAATGAAAGCTTATTGTTGTAATCTGACATCTAACTATATTTTAGAGATGTTTATAATAATTTATTATCATTTGAATTTAAATTTTCTTCACTTACGATAGTGTATACATTGCATCTTGAGTAATACAATTATTAAATAAATTATGATAAATCATAGAAGTTGCCTTGAAAATTAACAATTATTGTTACCGTCTTAATCAATTAATCCTATTATTCTGTTTTTGATACTAAATAATTAAACCAAAAGTATCTGTAAAGATTGCACATTTACTCTTTTATCCAAATTTATTTGTTTAACTTTATTCAAATATTTGAGGGTGAGTAACATTTAATAATAAATAATGTTTTCAAATATATTAAATAATATAAAAAATAAATCTCTATATATTATCTTTATTACATATGCTATAACATAAGTATTAGTTTTATAAGATTTCAAATAATATTAAGTTTAGATTAGATGGACTAATAATAAAAATCATATTTCTATTATTTGATTATTTTTATCCAATAATTACAAGAATATTATTTGACTTATAATATTAAATAAACTATTTTATCTCTTAATCTTAAGTGCTAGATTAGTTAAAATTGATTAATCACCTAAATATATTTACTTAAAATTCAAACATATTAGAGAATCAAACTTTTTTTAATATTAATAAATAAGAATCATTTATAAATTATGATAACAGTTTTCATATTATAAAAAATCATAAATTTCAAATTCTTATCAATTTTTTCTTTAATTGGAATCTTCAATGATATTATGATTTTATTTAAATAATAAGAAGTATTATAATAAATATATCTATATTAAATATCAATGAGTTTGATTATTATTTAGGAACATATTCGAATAAAATTTGGATTGAGATTACGAACTTCCAAAGGATGGTTATCTGTTTTGATTGATGAAATTGGGTTTGATTTAAGATTTAACATGTTAATCATCTTATTATCCTTGTTGTTCTTATTGTTATTTCTTAGCCTACCAATTATTTAATCTATTTGATAGCAATATTTTTTATACCTTTCAACCATGACTTCTATATCCTTCTGATGCAAAGGTGATTTAGCAGGTGAATCAGGCTCATTTATAGAGTTACTCAATTATTCAGTTAAATCCACATATTAATGTACAGGTACTGAAGCCTTGATTTGCTATTAAAAATAATAAGAATAAGTAAATACATCATTTACAGCTATAGGTAATTAATCAGAATCAAAAAAATTAGGATTTGGAGTTTATTGATTTGATTATTCATATTTGCTATCAGTAGCATTTGTTTTAGATTTGAATTAAGACACTTCTAATTATTATTAGCGTTGATATTCTTAATACATGGAACTAGTCATGTTTTTAGTATAATAAGGTCCAAAATTACTAGTATTTCTTTTAGATTATTCTAATATTAGAGATAAGAACAATTACAAATAACATTTTCACTGTTTTTTCTGACCTGATATAATCTATCGAAAACAGAAGTATTAGTTAATTCATGAGTTAATCTATTTGCATTGTTAAGTAGTTCTCTTGACTATAAATAAAGGAGGATTTAATACTTCATCATCATATATCTATTGTCTTTTCATTTATTTATTTAAATTCCATCGAAATAAATCATTTATTGATCTTTATAGATTTGCAGATTATTTATTAATCTAGTATAAATAGAGAATATACATCAGGTTTGAATTGATATGATTCTAGTTTAGGTTTATCTTTAATTCTCTATTTGGAAGAGGGTCTAAAAGAGTTTTTGGCTAGGATTTAAATACGTAGAAGTTCATCATTAGTGAGCAATAATCTTTAGGATGAGTACTTCTTCATAAATTTATATAAATTTTATTTCTCATTATTAAAATGAGTGAAGATATATAATATAAAATAAAGCCAGTTTCATTAGAGTTCATTCAATAATATCAAAGAATTCTTTGATTGTAGTTTATCTTCTGAATCTTCGTTATGGTACTGTAAACCAATCTTTACCATAAATTCTTTCAACATAATCAGTAAAGGTAATTAATTAATATTACTTACTTTCTTTATTTTATTTTAATTAAGTATTAACAGGAGTATTGTTATTAAAGAATTCATCAACATCATTTTTCACTTCAATTTTTAAAGTAGGTTGAGATGAAAAGTTTTCGTTTCTTCTGAACCGAAAGGTTTTATTTTATTGTTAGGTTTCTTGTATATTATCCATATTATCCATTTTAGATAACATTTTTTTGAGATTAAATTCTGATGGTCTATGAGTTCTTAAAGTATTTTAATTTTCCATCAAATTGTCAATACTGTCTAATTTCATAGGTGAATAATTTAAAGAGACTTTAGACTTAGACTTATCAGGTGATTTCAATGGAGAGGAGAATAAAGTTTCTTAATCATAATCATTATTGAATAAATTCTTAGTGATTGAGGAAAGGTTTGTTTTCCTGTTGGTCATTTTTAATTTTATAATTCCAAATTTTAATATTTATGATTTTCATTCTAATTATGCTTATCTAATAAGTGATTTAATATCATTTGTAATATTTAGATTAAATTATAAATAAATATATTCATGCTATACATTCCAAATAATTATATAATATGAATTCATTCCTCTTTTTTGATTAGTTATTAATATATAATAATGTTTCACATAAACATGATTTGGTAATGTTATACTATAATAATAAATTGAAATAATTTACATTACATTATTTATCATATACTTTAATAATTCCACTTATTTTTTAGCTCTAAAACATCTTAAAACCTTTTTTTATCATATTAGAATTCAAATTTTATTTATCATAAATCTTTAAATAATTAAGTATTAATTCATTTGAATATATTTTAAGTTATCTTTATTTATTAAAGGAATTGCTATATGTCCTTTATAAAATATTCTAGCCAATTAATGAAAATATTTGTAATAAATATGAAATAAGTTATCCATTAGTTTAAAAGATTCTACTATAAGAAAAATGTTATATATAAATAAAATATAATACGTAATAAATTTCAATATTTGGATATAATATTATTTCCATTTTATTTTTTTCAATTATATAATATAATTTATAATTATTGTGAGCCAATTTAAATTAAAATCCTTTGAAATATTGTAATATATAATAAAGAATGATTATCAGGCAAATAATAAATGAATCATTCAAAATCGGCAAAACATAAGTTTAACATAGAAGATTGTTCTGAATCTGAATAAGAAGAAACATAAAGAAAATCTTTAAATGCTTAATCTTAATCCTTATTTTAAACAACTTTATTTGGTGCATTAGACTCTTAAGTTAAGTAGTTTAAAAAGAAACCAATAGTTAAAAAATCTATGACTGAGTTTCTTAATAATTATGATTAAAATTTTGATGATGTATTTGGAAGTATGAAAATGCCAATAGATGTTAATCAAGATAAATAAGTAAGGAATAATAATAATAATAATCATAATAATAATAATAATAATAATAATGGATAAAAAAGTAATAAAAAATAAACATAAAAAAGACCAATAGAAACAGTAAATTCAGAATCAGATTCTAATTCAGAAATTTAAACTACAACTAAAAAATAATCAAAACCAAATAGAAATGGAAAAAAGAAATAATCTAAAAGAATTGTAGAATCAGATTCAGATGATAATAAAGAATAGAATGAAAATAAAATAACAAAAAAAAGTTAACCAAAAAAATAAACTAAAGTTAATAATAAATAATCATCAGAAGAATAATCTAGTGAAAATAAGAAATATAATCCTAATTCATTGGATCTACCATAAAATAGTAAATAAGATAAGAAAAGTTAAAAATTGAAAACAGCAATATTTAATTTTGGTACAGAAGAATTTGAAAAATAAGGAACATCAAATAAGAAAAATAAAAAGGATACTTCTAAAAAATAGATTTATAAAACAAGAAGTAAAAAATAGGTTGAATAAGATGATGATTCTAAAGATGATAAAATTGAATAATTAATTAAAGAATATTAAAAATAAGAATAGGAATTATAAAAGAATCTCACAAATAAAAATGATAAGACAATAAAAGAGAATAGAAGTACAGAAAAAATAGAAAATAAAGAGAAAAACATTAGTTTAAATAGTATTAAAAAACAATCTCTAAATTCAGAATTCAGTCCTTAAACAAAATCAGATGATGAAGATGATATTGATGATTCATGATATAATATATTATCTTCTAAATTATCATTTTTATTATAAATGATGGTGCCATTTAGTTTTCTCTGATAATATTCCTGGATTTGTAATATTTCCTTATTTTCCAAAATTTCCATAGACATTATGAGCAGTGCTTAAGAAATGTCTTTTTACATTAAAACTAAAAACTCTTTATTATTATCTTACTGTCTATCTCCTAATTCAATTTAAGAGGCATTTTTAGTTAAAATTGGAGCATCTGGTTCAGGTAATCTAGATCTAAATGATCCTGTATTATAAGGTTCTAATAATTTATTAGTAGATCCAACATGTAAATTGGGTCTTACTTTATAATCATCTCTTTTATATTACTATATTTAAATACGCATAAGATGAAGTTGTATATGTAGATTTAGTTTCATGTTCAGCAGGTGTTTTATTGGCTATTTCATAAAAGGGAACAGCCTATTGATATTAAATATAATATCTTACTTATGGATTACCTTATTTCATTCTTACATAAGAACATGAACTAACTCTTGTGTTTTTGAAAAATGCTGCTGATTTATCTAACTTTAAAGATGGATGTAAGACCATCCTGCCACTTTAAATTGATTGTTTAGTTTCGGACGGTTGTGACATTCTTATTAATTATATTATTTATTTTATTTAATGAGATCTAATCATTAATACAATTATAATTATAAATTAGACTAAATATTTTAGAGAGAAAAGTAACTATTCATATTAAATAGGTCTTATGATCTTCATTTAAAAAAGTTGAATGAAATCAAAAGTAAAAAAACATAATCTTAATAAAGAGTCTAACATTTGGAAATTTTGGAAAAAAGAAATAATTTGAGATTATAAAGAAGACGTTTCGATTTAAATGGTATACCTTAATCCATAATTTCAATAGAATAATCTGATCGTATAAACAAGGGGAATAGCTAGTTATATTAAAAAATAACAGAAATTTGCAATAGACCGATGTAATAAGATTACTATAAATATGAAGATGAAAATCTACATCACCCTCATAATTTAAACTTAACCTTTCGTAAAAATCAAGCTTAATAAATACAAAACGAAAATGTTAAAATAGCTGATCGTCTAATGAAATAAGAACCAGTCTTGAAATTAGAAGAATTTTCACATTCATATAAAGAAAATAAAAGATTGATGATAAGATTATAAAGATATTAATAATGTTAAAATTACATGAATATAATCAGGTAATAATTAATAAGATTATAAATTAAGAAATAATATGACTTATTCTTATAGAGATTCTACAAATAATAGTTCAATAAATTCTAAAAAGAAAGAAAAACAATAGTTATAATTTTAATTATAGCCAATTATTATTAAGTAAATATTACTAACGAATAATTTATAGTTTAAAAGCTAAATCTATTGAAAATACTGAAAGAGATAATTTAAATGAAATTAAAGATAAAAATATATAATAAGAATAAGAAAAATCAAAAGATCATTAAATTAAACAATAATTATCAGAAATTCAGTAAGATAATGAAGAATCTTAAATAGAAACAATAAGATAAGATGAAACTGTTGAATAATAGGTACAATCATAAATTGAAAGAGAAGTTAAACTTTATCAAGAAGAATAAAGTGATGATATTGAATAATAATAAAAATGATATATTTTCCTTTTAACAGTACTTTTGAAAAATAATATTAAAATTAAATTTATTTATTTCTTATTTATTTTAACAGTCATATGAAAAATAAAGAATAAGTCCTTAAATAAGTTTATGAAAGTAATTTATAATATAAATCTAGATGAAAATAAAGTATTTGGTAAAAAAAATAAGCCAAGAAACTAAGAACCTAATATGTTTGATATCATGAAATGGCCAGTCGAATAAGATGAACCATGGGATTTCAAAAAGAACATATAAGTTGATAGAGAACCCGAAACTAAAAAATTAATAACAAGAATTAATCATGAAAATTAACATTGGTTAACTGAAAATAAAGATAATTTTAGAAAAATTGAAAAATTAAAAGTAGAAGATTCATAAATTCTTGTATAAAGTATATTAGCATTCTTAAAATTATTTAGAATTAGATGAAAAAACAATTAAAAATATTGCAAAATCTTGTGATTGTCGTAATCCTTAATAAGAACATAATCCATAAATTTTATTATAAGAAGATTAAAACAATCAATATAAATTACCTGTTTAATGGAATCCTAAAATTTAAACAGCATATAGAGATAATTATTTAGTCAAGGATATAAAGGATACTAATGAATTAATGTATTAGTTAGAATAAAATAATAAAAATTTTAAAGGTGAATATAAAGTTTAGCATCCATTTAGTGGATTTTATTATGAAGAATCTAAAAAAGATGAAGAAGAAATAATATCATCAGATGAAGAAGATTAAGATGATCAATAAAATGATGATCAATAAAAAAAGATGAATACTAAATTTATTAGAAAAGCAAAAACACTTGATCCAAATAATCCTGAAGATGCAGTCAAATTACAAAGAAGAAAAGATAGAATAAAGAAATTTCAAGGAGAAACTAGATGGATAGCAGATACTGCTTTCACTACTTACTTTGGTAAACCTGCTTGGGGTCCTTATGGTTTCAATAATATAAATCCAGCTGTTGGAGGTATAGTATATGGATAACATATGCTTTCTCATAATGTCTAACCACATAGAAATAAAAATGATCCATTCTATATCTAAACCTATTAAAATGCATTAAGAAAAGGAGCTGCAGTTGCAAGTGTTGAACCTGAACCTCCTAGAAATTGTAGAGAATAAGATAGATTGAATCCTGAATAAGTAGAAGCTTAAAAATAACGAAATCAATTGACTCCAACACCTTATTCAGAATTGAAAAAATAATTAGATTCAAAAGGGAAATCAACAATTCCTGAATTTAATATTAAAAAACCAGATTTAACAAATACTTTAAGATTTGCATCAGAAGCAGGTAGTGTTTAAGGAGAATCTTAGATATAAGATAAATCAGAGAAATAATAAAGAAAACAAAAAGGAGATAAAAGACCTTAATCTGCTATTGATAATCGTACACAGAAATCTTAAAAAGATAATGATAATAAATCAAAGATTAGTAATGATTAGAAAACAAAAGAATCTAAAAAGAAATAAGATAAAAAAGTTTAAATTTAATCAGAATCTAAATTATAAATAGATGATTAATTAGCTATTCCAGATAAGGCCAACAATAAATTTATTGAAGAATTAAAATAGAAAAAAGAGAAGGCAAATAGACTTACATGTAAAGTTAATGAAATTAATCCTTCTTTATTAAAATCATCTCCTAAATAAGAATAAAAGAAATAAATAACAAATGATTTACAAGAAGTTAAATCTTTTGATGATAAGTAATATTATTTATTAATCATTAGAAATCCACCACCAAATTATTTGTAATAATTGGATCCTATTGAACTCAATCCAAAGAATTATAAAGGTGTTCCTTCAGATTGGTTACATAGGATACCATTTGCAGGTAAAAAATAAGAAATTATTAAAAATGGATAATAAACAAAAGATTGTTTTAATTATGGATTTTGATTTTAGATATATTATTTTTATTTTTCTATATATATATATATATATATGTATTACTAATTGTATATTAATTTAAAAAAAAAAATAAATCAAAAAAATTAATAATAATTAGTCAAAATTGATTATATATCTTATTACCATTGATTTTTGTATTTATTTTTTCTATGTTTATTCAAAATATCTTTATCATATATAAATGTAGATTAATATAATTCTTAAATTATTTTAAATTCTTAAACTATTTAATCTTGTATTGACTATTATTATTATTGATTTGAAGAGAGAATTTATGGTAATGATGATTTTTATATTTCGATAGGTATTTATTCTTTTAAATCTTCTATTTAATCAAGTATATTTTAGACATAATCAGATTCTGGTTTGTTTTCAATACTAATTTAAGTTTAATTAGTAGGATAATTCGGAATTAGTTTTTATTCATTTTCAGAATATTCAGTAACCTCTACCAAACTATTTCTTGAATTTAATCTAGATTTTTATTTAAGTTCTATTTATAAATCTAATGTAGTCTTTCGAGAAATGAGTTTAGATTGCCTTTTTTTAATTTCTTTTTTTAGTATGATATTTTAATCTTCTTAGAATTATTATTAGTCTTATTTTTTAGGTGGAGTAGCTGGCAATTTTAATTTTTATTAAAGAATTTATTATGCAGTAAATTTATTATTTCTAGATGTCATAGTGGATGGAGAATCTGGAGTTTAAGATGTAAGTGGACTATTGATTGATTTTATACTACTTTTTCTTCTAATCATTTAAGGTTATTGATTAATTTCTGGTTATATTTAGATTGGTTAAATGGAGTATTGTTTTGTTTATCTTTTATTTAAATTAGTAGTTCTTCTTCTTGTAGTGCTATTAGCTGGTGAACAATCTGTCATTTAATCAGTAAATTATTCAATTTAATCTTGAGATTACTCAAAATCTTTTTCAGATATTTCTTTAAAATCAAGATTATTAATTTTTTCATCAAATTCTGTTTGAATTACCATGGATATATCCATTCCATCGAAAAAACTTGCATTATTACATTTTACAGGTCGTTTATTTTCAAATAATTTTTTTAATTATTCAATTCGATCGACTAATTCAAAATCCACTAATCATAGACGTATTATAAATTACATTTGAATTGTTCGTTAATATGATTAATATAAAACTCATTATAATCTTGATTAACAAGTTTAAATTATTTTTTTAATTAGACTAATTAAATATAGACATTCTTCTTATCAGATTATCTAACATAACCTTTATGAGATTTGAGTATGTTTTGTACTTGAGTGTAAATATCTTACATTTTTTCTTAGATGACTTTTTTTTATTCAATATTTAATACATCCTAAGTCTTATTTATTATTTAGGGACTTTTAGGTTTTTATTATTTATCAGATTATTTTTGAATATAAGGTTCAGTTTTTTTATATTGTTTTGTAGAAATAGATTCTTGAATTTTTTTTTTTGTTTTGCTAAGGGTTTTTATTCTTTAAGACAATTTTTCAATTTAATCACTAATTATATTTTTGCTATTTTCGTTTCTTTATACACTTTTTTATTATGCACTAAAGATGTCTTTATCATTAAATGATGAATCCACTCTACATAAGGAATATCTACAATATTATAAGGGAGTGGAAAGGGATCCCCTTGAGATATTATCAGTTCGAGTTTTAGGTGGGGAATTAGAATAATCATATACATTATTAATTGATCTAATAGTGGGTTTATTAGGAATTTCTCTACATTTTTCAAGATTCTTTATGCTTAATTGTGGTAATCTAAAATTCAAGGATCTAGTTGTTGTTATCATTTTATTTAATTATTTATTATTTAACTTTAATAACTTAATTTTATTGTCATCTTAATAGAATCAAAGAAAAAAGAAATATAATTGTAAAGAAGATACCTTTTAGTTTAAATGTGAATGAAATAATTTATAAAGTGTATGAAGCAATGAAGAAATCAATTAATATTTCAAATATTTATATATAAAATGGCATATCAATAGCCTTTTTACATGGCATCACCACAAAGACCCCAACCTCAGCCTTAATCCTATATTCCACCACCCTAAGTATAGGCAAGACCATAATACCCTCCTCAACCCTAATATCCACCTTCAATACCATAGGTACATTTTGAATTTATTTTGAATAAATTGTAGGGATATCGTCCACCCCAACCATACGGTTATCCTCAACCTTAAATAGTTAAATAACCATTACCACCTTAACCCCAAAGGATCTCTTATCCATAACAACCAATTGGATATCCACCATAATAACAACCACCTCAAACCTATCCTCCCTAACAAGTATATCCATAAGGTCCTATCTATACTCAGAGTCCTTAGAGACCAAATCCAACACAACCATATCCATAGCAACCTGTAAGAGTGTTAATTTTATCATAGAATGTTTAACAGTATAGATAACCATAGCCTCCTTAGAGTCTGCCTCCAAGATCTGTTCAATCTTAATAATACCCACCATAACAATATCAATAACCATAACAACAAGTAACTCGTCCATATGTTCAACCTTAACCATAAGCTCCAGTCTAATAATTGGCTTAAGCTCCAATTCAAAACAAAGTTGTTCAACCACCACCTTAACAAGTTCAATAATAGCCAAAAGCCTAATCAGTACCATAATATAGACCCCCTGAACAATAATAATAGCCTTAATAACAATAATAATACAAACCATAATAGTTGTCATAGAAAGATGAAGATTTAGAGAAGAAGTTTTAAGATGCAATAGATAGAACAAGAGATTTAGTTTAAAGATACTAGAATCCATAATAAAATTAATATTAACCTTAAAAGTAATAGCAATAACCTCAACAACAGCCATAATATGAAAAGTAATGAATTTTTTCTATTTTAATAGTCCTGAGAATAATGATTAAGATTAATAACTTTAAGATTTGGCTTTGTAATATGAAGATGGTTACATTTATAGAGGATAAGGTTATGAACCAGCAACAAGAGAAGGTTTTGGAGTTCTAACTGATTAAAATGATAATGAAGTTTATAGTGGATATTGGCATGAAAATTAATATCATGGATAAGGTAAGTTGATCAATTTCTAAGCTGAATAAATTGATGGTCCATTTGATTATTAAGATCTTAGTGGCATTGATAACGGTTGGTTAGGTTATGAGGGTATAAAATCTATATAATAAATAAGGTGAATTCTTTGAAGGTAAAATGCATGGTTAAGGAACACTTTAGTTAACTAATGGTGAAAAGTTTGAAGGTAAATTTAATGATGGAATGATTGATGGAGAAGGAGTATATACAGCAGCCAATGGATAAGTTATTAGAGGAGTATGGAAGGAAGGTATCTTGGCAAGTTATATGTGATCCCATAAAAAATATAAATAAATCATATTTTTTAATTTATTATCATTACATCTTTCATTAGTGTCTATTCGTACTAATTAATAAATAATATTAAGTAATGTTTTGTTGTTCAACTAACAAATAAACTAACAAAAAATAAACCTAAATTAAGATACATCATCAATCCTTTGATCAATCTATTAATCAAGAATTCGATAATTAATAAATTACTACTCCACCACAAGTTCCCAAAAAATTATTGAAAAATCCTCCACCTTAATAAAAATTTTTTGGATAAACCACTAAATCAGAATCTAAATTAAGAGATTCCAAATTGATTTTACCTATCAGAAACATTTAGTATAAAGCTTAGAATCCTTTTAAAAAATTCGAAACATACAAATTATTAAATATAAATAGCAATACTGAATTTTTAGCAGTTAAAGAATCCTATACCTTACTTATTAACAAGCTAATCACTTGATCATATTAATATTTGTATTTCATTAAACTTATTATATAAATAGTTATTTTCTGTAATAAAAATACAAAAAAAAATATCAAATTCATTTCGAAAATTTTCTATGTTAACAATCCGAATCTAAAAATCTAGATTCTAATCTGTATTGTAACACTTCATCTGATTATTTATCATCCAAATAAAGTTCTGATTATTCAATATTCATTTTTGGTGAATTGTCTTATGAACTCTCTATTGCAAATAAAAAACTACTCTTTCCACTCATCATTTGTTTACTCCTTATAATAAAATCACTGATCTTAATATTTCCATAATCAATCTTATTCTTATTAATATTATTATTATGGTTAAAATATACATGATTCATATTATTTTAGTCATTAATTGTATTACCATTTTATATTGGATTTAAATATAATGGACTTGAATTTTTATAAGGATTAATCATATCACTTAATTAAAGACAAGTTGCAATTTTAAAATCACGAAATTTAGATTTCTTTTTTGAAATTTATGTGTCATCCATAGTTTTATCATATTAACTAGTTTTCATTGAAATCCATGGATGTAATAATAATTCTTCTGCTGATAACCTATTTTTTGGATCTTTGGTGAGTATACGTTTTAATAAATCTTATTGTAAATAATGTAAATCTAAAAATTCTTATGATCTCCATGGATTGTAATTTGTATCAGTTATAGTTTCAATTGTATCTATTATTGTATCAGACAAGAATGGAAATTTGTGACATAATAATTGATATAAAATAATTCCACATGACCAAATATCAACTATAAATTTAATATTAATTAATTACTTTTTTCATTATAAATTCCACATAGAAAGATTTCAGGTGCTTAAAATAAAATAGTGCCTGTTCTTGTCCACATTTCATGAAAGATGATTCCATTTTTATTTTTCTTGAAAAACTATTTAGATACACCAAAATCAATAATTTTAATTTCAGTTTTATCACTTAATTTAACTAAAATATTATCTGGTTTAATATCTCTATGACAAATTCCTTTATTATGTATAGATTTAAGAGAGATTGCTAAATTTCTAATAATTTCTCTAATTTATTTAATGGTCAATTAATTTTTATCAAGATAATATTGTAAACTCTTCCATTCACAATATTCCATGACTAAATATGAAACTTTTTCATTTTCATCTATAAATAGATCAAATACTTAAATAATCTATGGCAATGTATTTAGCTCTCTATTTATTATAAAAGTTTAAGTGATAGTATTAATTAATTCTGGATCATCAGCATTAGGTATAATTTTGACAGCATATTTAGTTGGAATATGACCAAAATTAAAGAGTTAGTTTGATTAAGTTTTTTTATAACAAACTTTAACAATTCCATTTGAGCCTTAACCAATTATTGTACCAATTTAATATAAATCATGAAATCTATTCTAAATACATGAGTTTTATTTTTAGTCTGGTTTAGTCTAGGGTTAAATATTTAATTAAGTATTGCTTGTTGATCTTTTAACAATTCGAGAATTATCTATATTTTTGCTTATTGTTTCTTTTTTAGTAAATAGAGATTACTTAATTTTAGATCTCATTTCATTCAATTATTTATCTCTATTTGTTTTCATTATAAAATATATAATATATATATAATAAATTAATATGTAATAATCAATATAATATATATATGTTATTAAATATAAAATAAATTAAAATATATAGTGAATGATAATTCTACCACAAAATATAAATCAATTCATTTTTTGTTTCCTTTATTTATTTATAATGTTTTCACACTTTAAACATAATTATAATCTTCTCCAACTTCAAATTCATCTATTTTTTAATTAAAATTATATTCAAAAAAAGAGAAGAAAGTATGTTTTGAAATTTTTGATCGATAAGATGGCATAAATATCTTAGATGTTAAATATTCTTTAGAAGATTTCCTTTTTTATGGATTCTTTTATAGCATTGATTTCATAATTTCAATAATATTCTTATCTTATTTTGTACTTGGAATTTAATATTTTCCAGCAATATTATTTAATAATATATTCTTTTAATCTTTTCCAAATGGGTTTTCATTAAATAGCCTAAATTACAATTGCTATGTATACATATAGTATAATAAAACTCCTAATTAGTATATATTGGCTTAAGTGGAGATACGAGAATTAAGTTAATATTGCTCTGGTGGAACGAATCCAATTGAATTACCTTTTCTAAAATTGAAATTGATATTATTACATTAGAGATCGATTTTAGGTTTCAAATATAGAATGAGAGAAATTACAAAGATAAATAGAATTGAATTCTTGAGAATAACATATATTGTCTAAAGTAATTCCATTATGAATTATATTTAGCTCTTCAAAGATGTTTAAAACTAAATTTTTTGAATATTTATACCTAAAAGTAGTTGTTCCATGACTTCAATAATAAAGGAAATAGGTGGATTCTTATATTTCTTTAATATTTATCTTAGTGAGATTTAAGTTGAACATTAATAAATAATTGAATAGCATTCTCCATCAAATGCGAGTTAATCTATTTTCATAATATATGGACATCGTTGTATATTTAATAATTAGATGATACGTATCTCTTCAGGAACTTTATCCCATCCAAAATCTGTGATACTTTAATTAGATATTTCTTAAGAATCTAATTAATTAATTCTTTTTTCAATATATTTTTTACCATTATGTCTATTTATAATTGTCGATAACTAGAAATAATATATATAAATACTTAATGTGTAGATATTGATTCATTTATAGTATCTAAAATGTAAATGTCATTCCTTTTAAAAATAAATTTTCCTGAAGAAAATTCATACATAGAATCTAATTAAAATGGGGTTCCAAAAACTTTGTACAACTACCCATGAAAATGTATTATGAAATATATATTCTCATCATTTTTATTGTTAATGTAAGGACTCCAATCAAAGAATATTCCATCATCATAAAAATCAATGTTTAATATCAATGAATTATCAAGAGTGTTCTAAATTAATGTAATTCTTACAATCATTTTTAGACCATTTACTTAAGGTATTAATTAGACAGCTTATTTGTTCCCTTACTACAACTTTAGCCCTTCAATAAGAAATAAATTGTTTTAATTCATCGGATCTGTAAAAAAGAAGATTTAGTTGTTTTATAAAATAAATATTAAAATCTTCCCATTTACTATAATGGATTTATATTCATTCATTTAATTTCAATGTGAGTCTGATGGATATAAAAAAAAGAAAATAAATAATTTATTAATCATCCAAACAAATATATTTACTAAATTTTAATCCTTAACTTAAGGATAGTGAATAAAAAATTAATTCAATTCAGTGATTTTGCCTTCCTCCTATACAAAAAAAAATAATTAAACCTTATTAATTTATTACAAATCACTATTTAATTTTATTATAGTTAGACTTTGAAAATCTTAACAGCATTTTTCTTTACTATAAAGTCATAAGTATAACTACACATATATTGGTTTGTACTAATTTAATATAATTCTAATACTAACTAAAATCTAGAGTAATGTTATCAATAACTTCTACCTTCAGAAATTAAAAATTTTTTTTTTTTCAAATAAATACTTGTTACAAAAACAATTATGATAATATATCTCAGTTTGAGATTGCTATTCCAGTTTTTCATTTTGTATAAATATTGAAAATATCTATTATATATTTTTATATAACAAAGAAATTTATATTAAAAGTATATTTTAGGTCGTTATTAAATATTCTTCGAAATACTTTATTCTGATAGCAATAATATATTTTAGTAAAAAAACAATCAATTCAAATCTTCATCTAATAGTTTAATTTTAGAGAATACCATTCTTAGTGAATTTCCAAGAATCAGAACTTATATCTGATTAATTCTGATTGATTTTATTTTATTGAAATTATCAAATTAAAAATATCTTATAAAGATGTACCACATTCATTAGTATTAATAATAGTACTATACTTTTTTAATGTTTTTGTATAATATGAAATAATTAAATTTATGTTCTCTTAGATATGAATCCATAAATATCTTAATCAATTAAATCAGTATCCTAAGATTGAATTAAGTAAACATAAAGATCAAAGAATTATTAGTCTAGATTAATTATAATAGTAATTATATTTAATAAAATTTATACATAAATATTAATATATTCATACATTTTTTCAACATAAATTGAAGAATATAAATATACTATTCCATTAGGCTATAAAAATACATTCTTTAATTAAATAGCATTTAATTATATGAACTTTTAGTTTAAATAAAGAGATATATAAAATAAAGTATGATTTTATTTATAATATAAGGGAAACTTCAAATTTTTAATATTAAATAAAATAATATTATAATTAGGAATAAAGGAAAAGTATTAAAATACTTTGTTATATTTATATATAATTATATGATTTAAATCTAATATATATAAAAAATTAATATTTTATTCATGATTAGAAATATATAATATAGATATAAGAGATTATTAATTATAATGAGATATATTATTTTTGACTGTTAAGTGAATTAATGGAGAAATAATATGACGTATTAAAAATATTATTACGCACAATATATTAGATATAATAATTAAAGGGCTATATTTATTTATTCTCATGTTACGACCGTAAACAAACTAATAAGAAAAAAACATATTCAATTTAAATAGTGTTTATTTATAATAAATTGTTAGTTAAGGTTGGAAAGTAATTATTAGATATAATAAATTAGAGATATGAAACAGATTTTGAAGAGATAGAAACTCTACTGAAAGGCACTTATTATTAGGTTGTAAAAGTGATTAATAAAATTGATTAATAAGTGTATGCTATAAAATAGGTAAAACATGCATCTATAATAAGATTCAAATTTGTTTAAAAAAGCAATAATAAATGGAAATAAACATATAAAGAGTATTAAAAGAAGTTAGATATTTGGCTTAATTGAATCATCCAAATATAATGAGGTATTATACTTCATGGATTTAAATGAATGAGGATGAATAAGAATTACAATAGATGACTACAAATAATTCAATAAAAATGATTGATATTTTAAGTCCATTGAAATCACCATCTTATAAGAGAGGAATATACGATGATCAATTTATATTTCCAAGTTAATTTAGCATAAAATATTTTAGAATAAATAGATAATAAATCAAGCAAAGAAAGAATTAGTTATTCAGAAGTTGAATCAAGTGATTCTGAATCAAGTGAGACATAAAGTGATAGATTTTTTAGTGAATAAAAATAAAAAAATAAAAGTTTAAAGATTAGTACTTAAATAATAAGTAAATCATGTGGTTAAAAATAATTACATGTTGATAAATTTACAATATTTATATAGACAGAATTTTGTGATTAATCTTTATGTAATTATTTAAAAGTAAGAAATACATTATTACAACAGAATATAGAATAATAAGAATATTAATTAGAATAATCATATGAAAATGCATTAATAATATCATTAAATTTAATATCAGCACTTGAATATATTCATTAACAATGTAAATTAGTTCATAGAGATTTGAGACCAGATAATATTTTTATAAATAATGAAAATGATGTAAGAATAGGTGATTTTGGATTAATGAAAAAAATTAAATAATTATTAGTTTAAAAAGAATCCTCAAAATAACAATATGGTTTTATTGAAGAAAATACTCCATTTAATAAATCTTCTGATTAAAAAATATATGTAGCTCCTGAATTATTAGGAGAAAACATAAATAAGTAATATGATAATAGAATTGATATTTATTCTTTTGGTTTAATTCTATTATTACTATTTTATCCAACATTTTCATAAGAAAGTTAAATGTAATTATTATTGGATGCAAAAGAATCAAAAACTCTTCCACTTAGATTTATATAAAGAAATCCTATTGTTAGTGATATAGTAATAAGATGTTTAGATAAAGATCCTAATAGAAGATATAGTTTAGATTATATAAAAAGGAAATTATAGGAAGTTCATTATTAATTAGAAAGACAATAAAGAATGAATTGTATTGAATTAGGAATTTATAAAATAAAATTTGAGGATGAAGATATTGAATAATTAAAGTAATATTATAAATTATATTAGATATTTGAAATTGATAGATAGTTAATTATATTTATTTAAATCTAAACTTCATAAAAAAGCTTAGGCAATATATAATATTATTGAGTGTTAGATTAGAGTGATAGAGAATACTATAGTAATTTTTCATGAATAATTAACAACAATAAGTATAATTCTTAATGATGAAGAAGAAACATAATAATTGAAATAAAAATTATTATTATTAAAATGAATATGCTATTAATTCGTTTTTAATATAAATCGTTTTTCATTATTAAGTTTATTAGAAATGAAATACATCATGATTGTTTTGTTGGCCTTAGCAGCTACAACCTCAGCATCAAAAACTTAAGACTAAATTTTGGCCCTCTTATAAGTAAATAGTGTTATTTATTCAATAGACAGGAACAAAAGCAAGTGATGCTATAGACACAGTCTTTGGATTGTTAAATGATTTGAAATAATCAAATATTGATGCATAATTTGCAGCTGATCAAAAGAATGAAACAGATGAATGGATTGGTGCATAGTAATAATATATACTAAATATTTAGAACAATTGAATAATTTACTAAAATTAAGACCTTAAATTAAAAGTTATTCCAATAAGCAATTGAGAATAGAGCTGAATATGAAAGTGTATTATAACAAACCAAAAACTATTTGGCATGGAATGAAGCTAGAAGAGACTCTATTGCTGCTAAAATTGAAACACTCTAAGATAACTAATGTTTCAGCAATTAATTATTTGTCAAATCTATCAAACATAATTAAGAAGCCCTTGAAGTTATCAAGCTTTTGAAATAAGATGTTGCTGGTTATATTGTTAATGGAGATTCTTTTGAATTCACATAAGTTTAAGCATAATCTGTAGCTGAAAAATTAAAATAATATAGCAATTTATTCTAAGAACATTAAATCAAAACATTCTTAGCTTTAGGTTAAGAATAATAAGTAATAACTATCTAAATATAATTAGGAATAATCATCAGGAAATGGATCAACTTTGGCTGAAAAAGTATTAGCAGTCTTGGAAGGTTTACATTCTGAATTAGAAGCTTCATTAGAAAATTTGAAATAAAATGAAATCAATGCTTCATGGGAATTAGCTGGTTGGGTTTCATTATCTGAAGCTGAAATTGCATCTTTGGAAGTTGAATATGAAAGAAAATAAGTCTTTGCTGATAGAACTGCTACTGTAATAATATATTTTTATTAATTTATAGTAAATATAAGCAGCCTTAGCTTAATAAGCTAAATCTAAGATCATTTTATAAGAATCATAAGATGCATTAGATTAAGCATAATCTGATTTGGAAGCAAAGAGAGCTGATTATGAAGAAGCCAAAGCTAAAAGAAATGAAGAGAATGCCATTTTGGATGAAGTAATCATAATGTTCAAGAAATAAGTTGCATCATGGTCAGGAAGATGATATCTTTGATAGATATACAACATTATGTCATTTATTAAGAAACATTTTATTATTAATATTAATGTTTATTAACTTATTCAATTATTAAAATAAGGATAATAAACATATTTAAACTATTTTATATTACAAATTCATCAATCTTTCTTTTCAGTATTAATGTTCTTTGTTTTTATTATTAGAAATCTAAATTCAATTAAATTAATAAATACTCACTCTCTTTCTTCATTTACATTATTCATTTAATCTACTCCCCCAGATTCTTCAGTTTCAATAGACTATTAATATTTTATATTCATTATTTTTTCTTCTTCTTCAATATTCTCAATCAAACCTTGATTCAATGTCTCTTTTAAAGGTAATAACAAAAGTCCACATAACATACCAATTATTCCAAAAACAACCATAGGATGAACTTAATATTGCTAACATAAAGTATTTAAGAATGTTTGAACAATACTACCAATAGAGCCTCCAGCTGATATTAATAATAATGCTAATGATCGAATAACAGAAGGGAATAATTCAGATACATAAACAAATGCTAAAGCCCAAATTACACAAATAATAAATCTCATTAACTAGAGTATATAATAATAATTTTACATACCCCTGCTAAAATACCTTACATTATTATAAATAGTGAATTATCAAATTGAATAAGAAAATACTGGCTCATAAAACCAACTAATATAAATCCTAAAATGATATTCTTTTTTCGTTTTAATTTTGTTACAAGAAAATCTTAAAAATAAAGAATATATTACCTGTTACTAAATATGCAGTTAATTCAAATAATGCTATTATATAATTACTAGTAAAAAAGTTCATTCCTAATTAATCACTAACAAAACTAATTCCATAATAAATCAATTAAATTCCAAAAAACATCATTACACAAGCTATAAATATATATCTAATAGATTTGTATCTTACAAGATCCCATGCAGTATACATTTTCTAATTTTTCTCTTTAGATTTAGGATTTGTGATTAATTCATCAATATCAATAGATTTAGTAGAATTAATTTTAGCAATTTAATTCAATGTTTATACACATTAAGATTTATTTTTTGAATATAAAAATAATGGTGATTCAAGTATAAATAGATTAGCAAAATTAAGTAATATTATAGGAATTGTTGCAATAATTGCTAATGATCTCCAATCTGTAACATAATAAGCCAATGTTATAATTGTAAATTCACCAATTGCAAAGAAAACTTAAAGACCTACATTTTGTAATTCTCTGAAATGTCCTTCTAATTATGTTAATATAAAAATTTTACAAGAATGTTCATTTATAAATGAATAATGAACTGTAATTGCAGGATTTCCTCCAAAACCTAAAAGAAACATTGCACTTGTTATCATTTAGAAATTTTAAGCAGACTATATAAAATTAGAAATGATAAGTAACTGCTAAAGTTATAGATCCTATTGTAGTGATTGTCCAGGATAATGTCAAAGCCAGTTTCCTTCCATAATTATCAGCTATAAATGAAAAGATAAAGAATCCTGTCAAAGAACCAAAATAAACAATGGATTTAATTATTGATTATAAAGTCTTATTGCAAGGTAATACTGTATTGAATGCTGTATTTAGGGAATTGCCAACAAGGAATTCTATCCTAGATGTATCTTCCTAAGACTATTGAGTTTCATTACACAAATGTAAGATAAACATTATTCATCCAAAATACGTGTAGAACATTCATTATAACAATTTAGATCGTTTTTACAATTAATTGTTGGTTATATAAAATAGAAAACAGGACCAAATAAAATCCATCTATTATATTAAGATGTTTATACGTAGTAATCATCCATTAAAGACCAAATATTACAAATGCTCTTTTTTAATAATATCCTGATGATCCTACTTATGATAATGCTTGATCATAATTTAATTATTTAAATTCAATCTCTTCTGTATTATCAATAACTTCTATTTAATCTTTTTATTCAATATAGGTATTAGTTTAATGCTATAAGTTAATATCTTCATACATTTATATATAAATAATTAATATATAATAAAAAATACGTAATAATGATAATGAATATTATTTGATAATAAAAATAATTATTATAAAAAAATATGCATATCTAATTTAAGTATTTAAGGATTAATTAAATCTAATAAAAATAAATTATTTATTTAAGATGAATATTATAAGAAAAGCATCAACTACTATTTTGAGACCACAATTCAATTATTAAAAAGTTATATTATTCCCTGGAGATGGAATAGGCCCTGAAATCTCTAAAGCTGTAATCGATATATTTGATGCTGCAAAAGTACCAATTGAATGGGAATTTCATGAAATTCATAAAAAGAGAGTCACTGAATAAGGTGATTTGATCACAGAAGATACTCTTAAATAAGTGAAAGCCTTGAAATATGCATTGAAAGGTATTAATTCTAAAATTATTATTAGGACCATTTGAAACACCAATTGGAAAAGGATATAGATCTATAAATGTCACTTTAAGAAAGAGATTATAATTATTTGCTAATGTTAGACCATGTAAATCAATTAAAGGAGTTAAAACACCATATCCAGGAGTTGATGTAGTAACAATTAGAGAAAACACAGAAGGTGAATATAGTGGTTTGGAACATGAAGTTGTTCCTGGAGTGGTTGAGAATCTCAAAATTGTCTCATATAATGCTTGTTAGAATATTGCATAATATGCATTTGAATTTGCAAGAGCAAATAGTAATTTAAATAAAAACTAATTATAGATAGAAAATAAGTAGTAGCATGTCATAAAGCAGGTGTTATGAAATAAGGAGATGGATTATTCTTGAAAGTTTGTGATGATGTAGCAAAGAATTATCCAGAAATTGAATTTAGTGAAGAATAAATTGATACTATGGCATTCAAATTAGCTAATGATCCAACTAAAATAGATGTTATGGTTATGCCAAATCTTTATGGTGATATTGTATCAGATCTTTGTGCAGGTTTGATAGGAGGATTAGGATTGACAGCATCTGGAAATATTGGAAAAGATTGTGAAGTTTATGAAGCTGTTCATGGAACTGCACCAGATATTGCAGGTAAAAATCTTGCAAATCCAACTGCATTACTATTATCAGGAATTATGGTATAAATAAATATTTAATAATATAGATGTTAAAAGCCATGAAATTAAATGATTATGCAAATAGAATAGAAACAGCTACATATTCTGTTTTAGAAGAAGGAAGATTTTTGACTGGAGATCTTGGAGGTAAAAGCACAACAACAGATTATACCAAAGCTATTATTGATAAATTATGATGAACGTATATCTAAATACATGTTTTATTATCCAATTAATATTTATAAAACAATGAAAAAGCCTTTATATTTATCAGACCTTATATATTTTATTCTGTCTATAGGAAACATTATCCAACTCTTACTTTTATAGAATAGACCTCTTTTAACAATAGTTTTGATGACAATCACTCTTGGGATGTTAATTATATATCTCTTTATCAAAATTTACTATTACTCAACTGATGATTCATCTATTATATTATTGATGCTTAATACTATTATTATCATCATAAGAATCATAGCTATTAATAATGTTCAATAAATTATTTATTAAACAGATATGTATTGTATTTCTTCTTATTAGTTTTTTTTGATTGCTTCACATCTTTATCATACAAAATTCAAATCATAAATTTAAGTTTATATCAGCAATTATCTATACAATATTATAAGCATCATTGGATCCAAATTTCTACAGAATTATTTTATCATTAACTATCTTTCATTAAATGATATAAAACAAGTAAATAAATTTATTTTATTTTCAAGAACTATTGTTAACAAAAATCCAGAAACTCCAAAAAAAATACTTAAATAATCTCATACTTGGCATAACAATTAAAACTATATTGATAATTAACTTAAAACTGATTTAAATATCAAAAATATTTCATCTTAACCAAACATGCATATTTAATGTGATTCTTTAATTAAAGAAGATACTATTGATAATTTAAAAAGAGTATAAGAATTATTTCATTTACCTTTCATTATTACTGATAAAGATGCAAAACCAATTTTATATAATTCATACTTTATGGATGCTTTTGAAAAAATTGATTAAAAAAATATTCAATATGGAATTAAAAATATAAAAATACATCGTTTAGATAAGAATAGCCAAAAAATTGTAAAAAAATTTTATTATGAGAAATAAATGAATCAAAATATTTATTTAAGATCATCCAGTCAACCTAATACTTATCCATTATTAAGCATCTCTAGCTAACCAATTAAATTACTCTTAAATCATATTTTATAAATAATGAATGCTTAATATTTTTAATGTTCTGTCATTGATTTTTAATCTGAATATCTAAAAAGTATTTATTAAATTGACATTAAATTCATTCAAGGTTATTTTCTATTTATTTTTACATAAACATAAGAAAGAGATGATTATAAAAATAAAATTAACACCAAACTTCTTATGAATTAATTATTTAGAAGTTTAAGTCATGAATTTAGCACTTCCCTTAATTGCATATAAATATTGGCAGAAAATGCATTAGAAGAACTTTAAGAAAACACAGTTAATAAGTACATTTAACCTTTATTAAATTCATGTATTCTTTTTAAGTATTTTACTAGGTTATATTTTAAATAGTATAGTTTAGGATGTTAAAGATTTTAGTTTAATTTTGTCAAAGAATTTTACATTAACAATTAAAAATACAAATATATGTAAATTGATTAATGAAGTTACAGCATTATTCTAATCATAAATATAAATGAAGGGATTAAAAATTAATATTATAACTAATAATATATCAATACATACAGATGCTTAAAGAGTAAAATAATCACTCATTAATTTATTATCAAATGCTTAAAAATTTACATTCTAAGTATGATAATTTACAAATTTAGGGAAGTATTGCTATTATTGCTACTGAAGAGATTATAAATAATATCAAATTTGTTAAGATTTCTGTTGAAGACACAGGCCCTGGAATGGATAATGAAACTCAAATAAAATTATCATAGTTTTTAAAATCAAGTTAAAAAGGTCGATATAAAGATTAAAATTAATCTTTTGGAATGGGTTTATTGATAACATAAAAAATAGTTAAAGGTTTGTCTTTGAATCATGAAGGCGGTATACATTTCGAATCTAATGTTTAATAAGGATCTAAATTTTGGTTTTTGGTTTAAGATTTGAATTAAGAAGAATTACCAAATTAGAATTCGAAGTAGACTATTCGATACAATAAGATCAATTCTTCTTAAAGCTATTCTAAATATGATATAAGTTAACCTGTAAGTCCTAGTATAAAAGATTTAAAAAGATAGTTTTCACCACTTCTATCACATAGATTTACTAAAGATGGTTAGAATCTATTATTAAATCAAAGTAGTTCGATTAGTCAATCAGAAAGTAAAAATTATAAAAAATTATAGATATTTCTTTTTAAGAAGAAAAATTTGATTGTATAATCAATCCTTATATTATGAAATAAGGATGCCAAAAACCATTGATACAAATAGACATAAATGAAGGAACTTCTATTTCAACAAAAATATTAATTGTTGATGATGAATTTGTGAACATCTATGCTTTAAAGATAATGTTAAATAGGCTAAATTACTTATGTGATGTAGCTAATAATGGCTATGAAGCATTAGATAAATTTATGCAACATTAATATTAGCTAATTTTTATGGATATAGAAATGCCAAATATGAATGGAATTACAGCAACTAAATAAATTCTTTAATTTTGTGAATAAAATGATCTACAAAAACCAATAATAATAGCATAAACTGCATATACAGATTCTTTGACAAAGACATTCTGTTATGAATCAGGGATGAGTTATTTTTTATAAAAACCAATCCATACAAAGGATATTAAGTAAATTCTTGATGAAAAATTATGATCTAATATTTTTATCAAAATTTAACTTTTATATTTTGTTTATAAATCTTTAACAATTTTTTTAATTTATTCTTTATTAACTTTTTGTAGAATCTTTAAGCCAAAAATCTCCTGATTAAGGCTTAAATTTTAACAATAACTCTTGTTGTCATTTACAATTTTGTTGGTTTGAATCTTGTAGGTCCTGTTGAAAATTCAGTAATGCATCTTTGTCTTTGTTCTTAAGTTGGTGATTTTGAACATTTTTTGTTGTTCTTTTAATATATTTTAAATTAAAACATCTTTGGTTATAACCTTTTTCTTCTTTATCTAATCTTATTCATAATAATATTTGCAAAATATATTACAAAGAAATTTCTATTCTTATTTCTTTTATAAATCATATCATATCTTTTGATCTTAATTTTCATTTCTTAATTTTCACTTTTTTTTCTTTATTATCTTTTCAAACTAAATTCTCTTTCTTCACTTTTTAATCTTAAATACTATGTTCTTTTAACTAAAAATTAATGTCTTGCTTATTATATAATTTTGACTATGCTTTAATGAGTTTCAATAATATGCTCTGCTAAATTACCTTCTAAAGCTGAAATTTAATCTTTATCAACTAAATTAACAGCATTTTATAACTATTTTCTATCTACACATCTTGCAAGAAATTTACTGAATGATTTTGCAAATTTGATTTCTTCATATATAACTTCATCTTCATTACCACCAGATCTAATACTCTATCGTCTATTTAATGTTTATATTAATGGTAAATATCCCATAATATTAAAATTACAAGTTGCAATTTTGTTAGCATATTTATTTTAACTTTTTTGTCTATTCTCTAAAAATGCTCCTTCCAATTCTTCATCCCATTAAAACTTCTACATTGTTTTTATTACTTTATTTTATTGTAAAGCTTCCTATTTTTTATTTGTTTTTGATGTTTCAATATTTTTTGAAGAATTTAAAGATATAAATAATTTACCTATTTATGGATCCATTCTTTTTATCAATTCCAAAATTGTTGGTCTAGTGATATCATTTAATTTTATTTATTGTTATTTAATTATCATCTATTAGATTTCATGCAATTCATCTAATTTTCGATATAACACTTATGCTAAAGGAATTTTAAGTGATTGATATTTTGTATTGATATTTAACCATTTTAAAGGTTATGGTTAAATTTTTGTTTCAACCTTTGTTGTAATTTATTATTGCTATCGACTTTCAACCTTTTCTTTCCATTTCTCAAGTAAAACATCAATAGTATTGTGGAACTTTTTTATTATATATTCCCTTTTTTCACTTTCGTTTAAGTTTTTTAATGCTCCAGGCTATATACCAAAACCAATCAATATTTATGAGATCGTACCAATTTTATCATATTTATCATTTAATGAATCCCCAATCAATGCAATATATAATGTATCTATAAAGTATTCACTGCATGATTTAATAATATTAGTGAATGCATCATGTTTCATTTCTTTTTACTTTTTATTAAAATATTCTAAATATGTTTAATTAACCTATTGATCCACTTTTATTGATGTTCTAGAAGCATTTAATGTTAATTATTATGGTTCTTGAGCAAAATAATTAAAATAATTATCTATTTATTACCAAGTCTAAAATTTGTCATCTTATTCTGGTTATTGTTTAATTTTTATTAGATTTCTTATTGATATTTGATACCTTGGAGATAATGAAATTGAATTTTAATTTTTCATCTATTTCTTATAGGTTGTTGCTATATAATTTAATAATTAAATATATATAAATTTTTAATTGTTGAATCTTGAAGTATATATAAATTTAGATAAATAAGTATAGCATGAGCAATAGTAAATCTCCAACATAAACTGAAGCTCTTCCCTAAATATAATACATCAAATTAAAATAGTTGTCAAAACAACGTAAAGTAAATTTTAATGTGATGCTATCTTTACCTGTAACTTATAATCTAACTTAAGTATTTACTTAAAGATTAGCAGCTTGAAAATAGAAAAGACACTATTGCAATCTTTAAAAAAAGAAAACAAGAAGCTAATGCATTTAGCAAAAATAAACCATAACTTTTAAACAATGGGAGGATTCATTTTTCAGAATTTTGGTCAGAAAAATATTAATGTATTACTTTAAAAGATTCCAAAATCAACTAAGATCTCAATAAATATAGATAAATAATAAAAAGCAATATAAAAGACTATTTATTTAGATATGAAAAATAAGTTAAAGATTAATTACAATAAGTGAGAGAGTATTTAAATTTTGTTATTTTAGCCAAAATTATACAGAGCCAACAAAAAATTTTGAATCTGATGATGAAACTGTTTAACATTTTGATTTTCAAAAATAAAAACTTTTAACAAAACATAATACAGAAGCAGATTTATTAGCATAATATCAGAAAAGCCAGGATTTATTTAAAAAACCTTATATGAGATACTTAAATAAAAGTACAAGCAGAGAAGTAAAAAAAGATTATATTCTTAAATTGGAAGATATGATGAACAAATGTGATGATTTTAAATATAAATATCTAACAGAAGAGTAAGAAAACTATAATAAATATTAGAAAAATCAATCTAAAACGATTCAGTCAAAATTCTTTAGCAAAAAAATTTATAATAAATTAAACCACAAATTCAAGCAGAAGCAATTTTTGATTATTATATTATTTCTGATTGTTTTTATAAATGTTTTTTTCATTATCATAAAAAGTAATTTAATGATTTACTGATTTTTAAAGATAAAAATGATAAAATATATATATGTATATTATTACTTTCCATTAAATTTTTTTATTTATACTAAATATGTTTAAAAAGATAGAAATTATTATATCAATCTACATCATAATTTTGATGTTACTTTGACTAAGCCTTTTATTTTTAGATAAAACTAATAGTGAACAGTAAGTATTACTCTATTAAATTTGAAATTAGCCAATTCATTTAATAATCAATTTTATAATTCTAGTTTATTGGTAAAGATAACAATTATTTTTCGTAACAATTAATATCATTTGAGAGGTCTGTAATAAATTCCCTTAAGATTAGATGTAAATATTTCTAATAAATTTTCTATTAATAACTATGATATAGACTAAAATTTTTATAATTCTTAAAGAAAAAATAATTAAACTACAGTTTTCTTATGTGTAAGAACTAATTATAATATTAAAGTTGTATATCTGTTTTTAATTAAATGACAAACAATTTATTTAAAGTTTATAATTATTTTACAAGAACTTTATTCTGTATTGAAATTGGATAACAATTAAAGAACAAACAATTTATAAAAGTTAAAATTATTTAATAATTTTATACAAAAAAAATTTATAACTTTTACTAGGATTGGATTAAAATATTAAGAAAAAATAATATATTTAAGTTTTATATAATTTAAAATACAATATTTAATATAAATTAATAAATTTATTCCTACTTGGTACCTACTTTCGCAGCTGAAAAAATTGTAAATCAAATAATTGCTCTTAGTGAAGATCCTCCTAGATGTAACTTAAAAGGCCAAGAAGAGTGTCAATTGACTCTTCACAATTTGAGCCATTACATATCTTTATTAACAGAATGTTTTTTGTCTAAGATAATCTAATCACTCCTGATAAGGCTTGTACTTTATTTCGCCTTTCTAATGAAAAGGATGTTTCTAATCACTTTAGATTAATGACTCTACAAAAATATATAGAGGTTCTTTCCATTTCTTCCATAAGTATAGCAAAGATCTATAAAGATATATTTACTTCGCTCCTTTTCCTTAAAAAATTATCCTTTCTCTTAATTTGAATAATTATAGAAATTTTACATAAATTTACTTAACTTATTTTCTTAAGATATTATTTCGTGACTTAATCGAGAAGCTGATTTCTCTAACCCCTTATGTTAATTTTATTTTGTTGATCAAGAGGCAAGTGATGATATTGACTTAAATGATATTCAAAAAAAATCGAAGAAAAGAGTATTATTAAAAAAGACTTTCCAGAAGTCAACGTCGCTTCACTTAGAAGACAGAATAAGAAAATATTAAAATTTTGGTTTTTACAAAACTTAAATTTTGTATCTTTTATTGAAAAATTAAAAATTTATGCAAAGTTTAACATAATTCTACTTATAATTATTAATTGATTTTAATAAAACTACATTTATTTTTATTGATAATTAAATGGTAAATTAAATATTTATTAAAGTTATATAATATTCTACTTATTATTATAGATTGATTCTAAATTATTTATCAATTAATTAATATAATTTATTCTATTAGATGAAAAAAATATATTTTAGAAGATTAAAAAATGTTCAAATAATAAAATAAATTTAATATATAATTTTAGATGATTTTACAAAATTTTTATCATCTATTTTCATAAATATATAAATTAGTTTAAAATCATTTATAAACAAATTTGTTGCCAAATATACATTCAGTTTTAACTTATTACCGAAGTGATAAAAAATTAAATACAATAACTTTATTTAATTTGATAAATACTTAGAATTAATGTATTGATATAATTTCTTAATTAATTGATTTTCAAGTTTATTTTTATAATCATATAAAGAATCAGTTATTGAATTTGATAATTACTTGAGAGAAGTATGAAATCATTTCTAATTATTACAATATAGAGCTGAATAATTATTATAATATAATATAAAGTAGGCTTTTAAATTAAGAATCAAGTAAAAAGTACTATTGTTTCATTCAATTATAATCTTTATAATCTCATTTAGAAGAGGAAAGATAAGTATAATTTTTTCATGTTCTTAGGTTTTATATGTTATAAGGAGTTATAAATTTTGTCTATCATAAAAGATGAATAATTTAATTTTTTTTTAACATAATAAATATGTTAAAAAAGAGAGGCATAGTATTCAATTTGGCATAAAATTACAATAAAAAATTCGTAATGAGATTCTTTACATAAAATAATATTTCTAATAATATCACAAATCGAAATATCTCATTACTATGCATAAATCTTTAAAATCAACCAGAAATTTTCTAATTAAGGGGAGGAGGATGTGGATTATCAAATTTTTGTAGATCTGGCTAACTTCCAGAGCATTAGGAAATGATTCTTACAAATGAAAATAATGTACAAAATCTTGACCAAAAAAACATTTAATCAGAAAAATTGCCTAATAATTTTTTAAAAGAATTTGATTAATCTGTGATTGTTATTCAAGAAGGATCAATTAGTTTAGTTAGTTAGTCTAAAAAAAATGAAGTGATAATAAAAATCTAATGGTTTATTTATAACAAATAATTTTTCAATAAATTATGCCAAGAAGAAAATACTTATGAATTGATTAAAACAGATATTGATACTAATTTGCTAAAACTCTTAGAAATACTTCCTAATTATTTAGAGGTTTCTTGGTTTCTTTGTTATTAAATTGCATAAGTTTGTAATGACCTTTTGAGAATAATTTATTCACACAATACAATAAAATTCGACCCTATGCCTTTTCTATAAAAAGTTTCTATATTCTCTGAATAATTGTAAAGTTAATCAAATAATGTTTGGAAAAGTGGTCTTGAATTTGAAATAACTTTGATGGAGATAATGCTAGAAAATTGTTCAAATCCTGAATAAGAAAAAAAATTATTGATTGATGTAGCTAAAAATACTGTAAAATCAATTCTTAAAATGAAAATAACTGATGCATTAATGTCTAGTCTTAAGAAAAGTGCAAAATATATAATAAAAAAAGCAATCAATTCAAAAATTTTATATCCAATAGAAGTATATCAAATTTATCATTTATTTTAAATAATAAAATGGAAAATCATTGAAGATGAGACTGAATCTGTCTATTAATCGATATAGAATTTAAAAAATCTCTTTAATAAATACATAAAAGGATCAAATAATTGGATTTTACATTTCTGTTGGATTTAAACCATCACAGATATCATTTTATATAGATTAATAATAGAGAAAGAATCATAATAAATACTATAAGAAGTATAAAAAAATGTTGGTACCATTTAAAAATTACCTTTCAATCATAATTAAGCAATTTTATTGTTTTTTGATACATAGCCAAATATTTTGGAAGATTCAATTTTAAATCAATACAATAAGCTTTAACTTCTCTGTTCAAGCTTGATTGAACAATAATTCGCAAAAGAATAAAATTTTTGGGATTATTATTCAAACTTTCATTTCAATATAAGTGAATAAGAAGATTCTAAATAGTTTAATTTCATACAAGTGAACCGTGAATTAGGATTATTAGAAAAATTATTTAAATAATTAAGAGCACTTATCGATTAAATATAAGTAATATAACTTGAAATAGAAGAATCCTTAATAAATTAGGTTTCAGTAGAAAAAACATTATTATCTTAATAATTATTTGAAGAACATAAAAAAAAAATATTAAACAAATTTTTGAATACTTGGAAAAAAGCAATATATCTCATTAATTTGATTAATGATTTCTTATTATTTGATTATTAAAAAGTTCAACTATTCCAAAACAACTTAAAAAATGAATAAGAAAAAAATAATGAAAAACCCCTTAATAACTTTAATGAAATTTAGAGCTTTGTTATAACAACATTTCCAGAATATTAATCAAATTTCATAAGTGATTTCTTAATTGCAACAGATTACATTAATAATATAGTTTTCCTTGATTATAATAAAAATGACATTTAGTAAGAAATTAACGAAATCCACTTAAAATACGAAATGAAAAACTTTAAGAATTTACAATTTAATGATTTCGATACATTTCTTAAAAACTTAGAAATATATTAGAATGGTCTTGATTCTGGAGTTATAATAAATGATCCAATATTATAAAAAACAGATATAAATTAATTTTTCAAATAAATTATTGAAGGATGTTGGATTAGAAAATTTGAATCTGCTTTAAAATTTTAATTTGAAGATAAATTTGAATTTATTAATGATAATCTAGAAACTAATGATGAAATAAGTAATTAAATATTAAAATGCGAAGTCAGTATTTCAATACTAGTTTCTTTAAAATAATTTTATGAAATATAATAAGAGAACATAAAAAGAATGAAAATGAAATTTTTATCATATTAAGATTCAACAAAGAAATAAACTTAGATAGTTGAAACGGATATTTACTAAAGATTTATAAATTGTTTAAAAAAATAAGAATAAAATATTATTACCTTTCAAGATTAAATTAACAAAGATTTAGATTTTAATATAATTAAATTAAAGTAAAACTTTAAATAGATTGATTCAGAGATCGAATCAGATATTTAAGCTATTAAGATTGAACATAAGAATATATCAAAGGTTAATTCTGAAAATAGTTAATAAGAAATAATATATGATTCTGAAAAGTAAATGAATGCACAATTTTTGATTTAAGCATAAAGTTTATTGCATTATTTTTAAGTGATATTCATTATTTTTTTCAATTAAATGAATGAAATTATAAGCATTTCACAAGATATAAGATAGAAACAAAATGTTTTAGTTGTTTAAGAAAAACAACCTAATGAAATTTAATATTAAGATCCAAAACAAGAATTATTGGAGGAATTGAGAAAATTAAAAATCAATTTTTCAACTTTTATTTAAGAGGTAGAGCAAAAAATTAGTTCGAAAAAAGATATAGAAGTGGAATCAAAACATAATGTCTAAGGT